GCCCATACTATACAGCTTCTGGGGGAAGAATTTCCTGCAAGATAGTATTGCCTTGATGAGTATTGTGTGGACTTTGAAATTCTTATAACAAAGACCATCATAGTTAACATAGCATTAATTGTTCGACCAAAAAAAATACATAGCATTAATTGTTTTGTGTGTCTGTATTTAATTTGGTCTTTTATCAATTATTTCAGGACATTAGACCCTTTCTGATGTATAGTTAATGTGTTGAATGGACCTTGAGGCTGACTTCCCATCATCCAAGTCAAATGTTATAATGCCTGCCTGCTTCAAGTCATAGACTTTAAAAATTAGAAAGTTTCATTGTCCATGACGATGGTGAGCTATATCCAATATAAATGCTCGCTTGCAGGATAGAGATAGTTGGTTAAATTTTCTGCAAGTTACTTATAAAGTTGAAGCTTGAGGTGTCCCAATGGGGTGATATTTTAGTGCTTGAAAGTTTAAAAAAAAAAAAAAAGCAATTGGTCCATCCTGGTTAGATAAGCATGCAATCATATAGTTCACTTGTGTTTTAAAAAGAATTACGTCAAGTGCCCTTAGCTTCTATTTAGTCAGATACAGTGTATCTCTGACAGTTTCTTTCAAGTTTTCGGTGATGTTCTGGTCATCCCTGAATTGCAGTTTTGGGTATGTTGCAATAATCTATTGTCCATTTGCAGCTACTCCTGATGCCAGTCGTAGACGGGAAAGCGCTATTGTACTCGTTCATGTCTGTTCCTGAAGTGAGAATTGGAGTTGCCTTTGGCAGTGGGGGAAGCCAAACATTGCCTGCCACAGAGCTGCCAGGAGTATCTTCTTGGTTGGTGAGTCTTTTGCCATTTTTGTTTGGCATTGGTCACTCAGTCTGACTTCCACAATGTCTTTCATTTTAATTTTCTTCTTCCAAACTTAGCAGCGATGATTTCACTATTAAGAGTGTTTGCTTTTAGATGAATATTTTGCTATGATTCTGCCAAGCATCCATACTTTGTACACTCGAGATTTGAAAGCAATTTATCTATTGGCATAATTTTCTCATGGCAGAATATTCAAAGCAGGTTTAATGGTCATTCAATTTTCAAATCGTTCTTCACACCAACAAAATTTTACAAACTTTGATCTTTTCTAGATCTCTGGTCTTTTGGTTGGTCTTTATGCGAGTATGGCGTGTTAAAAAGGGGTAGTGAGCTCTGAAAACAGAGTAGATTTTGAAGGATCTTACAGAGTACACGGAATTAAATAGTACAAACCCCAAATAGTGTGAAAGTACATCATCGTTTGTTGATCTTGTTTTTGGATGTTCGGTGGATGGCATAGTAGTATCATCAGTTACTATGGACGTCTTATCCTATACAAAGCAGAATGAAGAACTGCACAAGACTTGCTGACATATTGATGGTCGCCGACTGTTTGTATTAATTGGTCATTTAACTCTCAGATGCACTGCTTCAAAATATTCTAGATGTATTATGTTGATAATGCTCTTAATAATACATTCTTTTTGTCCTCACTTTACTTCGGTTGCTTTTAGGTAAAAATTCTTACAGATACCTTAGTCAAGACCATGGTGGAACCACGGCGTCGTTGTTTTTCTTTGCCCGCTGTCGAGTTGAGGAAAAAAGCAGTTGGTGGTATCATTTACGTTAAGGTCGTTTCAGCCAGTAAACTTTCTCGGAGTGCTTTGAGAGGAAGCCCATCCAGAAGACAACATAGTTTTACCACAAATGGCACATTGGAAGAACACCTTGACGACAAGGATCTACGGACATTTGTTGAGGTCGAACTTGAGGAGTTAACCAGAAGGACAGATGTGAAGACAGGTTCAACTCCTAGATGGGATTCAACTTTTAATATGGTTCTACATGAGGATGCAGGCATCTTGCGCTTCCACCTTTATGAATGTACGCCAAACAGCGTCAAGTATGACTATTTGGCAAGTTGTGAGATAAAGGTACTCTTGCATGTTGGAATGAAGCATAGAAGTTACATGTGTATCAACTTTTGTTAAATAAAATAATCCCACTGTTCAATTAATTCCACCTTCTCTATATATTGCCTGCTAACTTGTATATTGCTTCTTGATGTGTAGGTAAGGTATGTTGCCGATGACTCGACAATATTCTGGGCAATTGGGCCCGAGTCTGGCGTAATTGCCCAGCATGCTGAATTTTGTGGAAAAGAAGTTGAATTGGTGGTTCCGTTTGAGAGGGCGAGTGTGGGGGAGGTATGAGTTCTATAGTTCTGTTCCATTATAGTCATGAATATGATTATTGACATTGTTGTTATCCTTTTACCCGCCAGCAATGTCCCTAGGAAATTAATCAACCTCTCTACTCTTGAAATGTCATTAGCATTTAAATAAGCAACGTGGTTTTTTGTGACCCATAGATACACTACATACCTTGTAAATACATCTTTGTATCATGTTTGTAATGCCAAAAATTTGATTTGTGGTGAGATAAAGGATACGATCTAAATGACCAATTACATTACTTCAGTTGACAGTGAGTCTCGTCTTGAAAGAGTGGCAATTCTCTGGTGGTTCACATAGCTTGAACAACTTCCTCATCAACTCTGGAAATTCAAGCAATGGATCATCAAATCTGCTCTCAAAAACTGGAAGAAAACTCAATATCACCGTTGTTGAAGGGAAGGACTTCATTTCAAAGGACAGAAATGGAAAGTGTGAACCCTATGTCAAATTGCAGTATGGAAAGGTAAGTTTCCCTTTTTATTTTACTTGCATCGCCATGTTTCAAAGTATGGACTTTCGGTTGATGAATCCACAGATTAATCAATCCTGTCTCAACATTTCTTTTACAGGCCCTACAAAGGACGAGAACTGCACATACCTGTAATCCAGTTTGGAATCAGAAGATTGATTTTGATGAGATAAGAGGTGATGAATGCCTAAAGATAAAGTGTTACAGCGAAGATATGTTTGGTGACAATAATATTGGCAGTGCACGAGTAAACCTGGAAGGACTGGCTGAAGGGTTTGTCAGGGACGTGTGGGTCCCGTTGGAGAAAGTTAATTCTGGGGAGCTGAGGCTTCAACTCGAAGCTATCCGAGTCTCTGACCCTGAAGGATCCAGGGTATGTTTTGCTTGCCCAGAGGGAGTGCAGATGGATGCTCACTTTGAAACAATCGAAATGAAACACCTTGCATAGTTTTAAGTTGTTTAGCCCATTTGACCAAAAAAAGTTTTTAGCCGACTGCACCAGTTGTTAATGTCACACCTCGCCATTTTCTGTACCAATGTATGTCTCATTAGTGTTTACACTAACACAAGTTTGCTCAATATGCTTAAATCTTCAGGGTTCAATAACAGGTTCCGGCAATGGTTGGGTAGAGCTCATTCTCATTGAAGCAAGGGATCTTATTGCTGCAGATCTTAGAGGAACAAGCGATCCATATGTGAGGGTAAATTACGGAAATTTGAAGAGAAGAACAAAGGTTAGGAATCTTGCTATTCAAACTAAGGTTTTGCTTTTCATATTCTCATCAAGTCATGCAAAAGCCTAAATCCAGCTAGTTGGTATTTTCTGTGTGAATGCATCTGTCATGTGATATTGTGGTAGCCAGCTAATGATGTCCATAAGTACCTTTAGACTCTTGGTCTCTTTAACTAAATCTTGGTTAGTGCCGTGCTTAGCTTAGAACATGCTAGTTTCAAGGATTCTAGTCCATCAAATGTGACAAGTTCATTAAGTCAAGGAAAAAGGTGAAGAAAATAACAGCTTTATATCTTCCGCGTCATCTCTAGGATAGTGTAGTGAAAAATAAATCATGATCGTGGCAGCTTATACTTAGTTTCTTGACTTTCTAAGTTTTTGACATAAGTATTTATTTACCGGTTTCCACGCATCTATATAAGAAAGCCCAATCTCGTACAGAGTTTTCTTACCTCGGGTGCCATGTTCGGCATTGCAGGTTATGTTCAAAACTCTAAATCCTAATTGGAATCAGACCTTGGAATTTCCCGACGATGGAAGTCCCCTAGAGTTGCATGTGAAAGACCACAATGCACTGCTTCCCACATCAAGCATTGGCTATTGCGTCGTGGAGTATCAAAGGTTGCCTCCAAACCAGATGTCTGACAAATGGATTCCCCTTCAGGGAGTGAAGAGGGGAGAGATCCATATCCAGATCACAAGAAAAGTTCCGGATCTCCAAAAGAGATCAAGTCTTGATTCAGAACCATCCTTAACCAGATCGTATCAAATTTCTGGCCAGGTGAGCAAATTCTATAAGGGTGTTCAGAGTGTCTTTCTTAACTGCATAATGCCATGTCCTGCATTATTTAATAGAAGGTGTTGCTTGTTCTGCATTTCATGTCAACTTATGCTGCTAAATGTGCTTGGCCAGATGAAAGAACTGATGGTCAAGCTTCAATCTTTGATCGAAGATGGCAGTCTTGAAGGGCTTGCAACAGTTGTGACTGAGATGGAGAGTCTCCAAGATTTGCAGGAAGAATACATGGTCCAATGCGAGACAGAACAGACGCTTTTACTCAAGAAGATACAGGAGCTTGGTCAGGAAATATTCAACTCGTCACCTTCCCTGAGCAGAAGATCTTCCAACGATTGACCAAACTGTTCAATATAAAAGCAACTACTTCCCTGTAATTTTTCATAGGAGAAAGCAAATGTCATTGGTGATAGAAGTATTGCATACTTGACCTCGTACAAAGTTGAGTCCAAGTTCACGAAATTTGATTGTACATGAATACCCGATCTTGAGTAGTTTTAAATGAAGTGGAGACACGGAGATACTTTTCTCCGGATCCATGGTATCCTATACTTAGGAACTCGGTGCCTCCAGCTTCCAAATAGGATTCAAAGTCATCATGTTTTGCACACAAATTATGTAATTTACTCGGTAACTTTTGGTGGGCGAAAATCGACTATTTCACAAGATAACGGAGATCCTCCCATGCTCTCGTTAATGGTTTCACTTAAATAGTCATGACTCGCAATATTGACAACCAATGGGAGAAACGAGGATGTCTAACTCAAAAGTATTCAAAATTTTGTCACCCAAAAATGAGGTTTGATACATACGTTCAAAGAGAAAACAGGAGAGCAGAAGGCAGATGCTTTGGAACCTGATCTATGAAAAACCTACAAAAGATGAGATGACTACTTAAAAGCATGCGATAGCCGAATCGATGCCTCCCATGTGGAGCAATATGTCCAACCACAAGGGCCTTCGGCATTACTCAACATTGTCAGTAGCCAAAAAATAGCTTAGTATATGCTCAAAACAGAGATTGATGATGTTGAGGACGGCGACTAGGAATCGTTGAAAGAATGAGTAAGATAATCTCATTGGCGAAGCATCTGCTGCAGCTGAAGAACTTGATTCCTTTGTTCTGGAGGCAGGAGATTAATCTGCTCTGGAGTGAGGCTCATGACCTGCTGAAGTAGGGCCTGCTCCATCTCAGGTGACAGCTGCACAGCGGGAGGAAATTCTACGTCAACGTCCCAAACAAGCTTCTTTATTATAAACCTCTATAAATGGCAAAGGTAAAATAAAGCCGATATCAAAAAGAATGAGTAAGGTCGAATAATTACAGTAGCAGGACGAGGTGGCTGACTTCCCTGGCTCATCTGACCAGGAACAACGGGTGGAGGGCCAGGAAGCTGTGGAGGGTTGTCTGACAGGCCAGGCATCCAAGAAGATCCCCTATCCACTTGCATGGGACCGCCACTTTGATGGCTAAATTCTATCCCTGGATGTGAACCTCCGCCCTGAAAAATAAGACTTGAATATCAAGAAATATAAATTGCATAATCACGAGAGAGATTCACCAGCAATATCAAGGAATTGAGTAGTTGGTCAGTAAATATTGCATGGGAAAAAAATATAGACCAAAGTCTGCCACAATAATGCCCAAACTTGCAATACCAAATATCGTCACCCATTGATCTGAGTCTCTGAAGTACTTGACGCCATAATTATAGAGTCATTATTAAGTCATCCATCAGTTATCCCCTACGATTTGGTGGGTGAAAGTTCACAGACCTCAGAACTTAGCATCTAATCCATGCACATTGGAAGGAAATCACAAGGACCAATCTTATTTCAGTTCGAACACTCTCCTGAAGGGTGTATTTGCATATGCAAACTTTTCAATTTTAGGAGGCCAATCTCTATACAAATTTGTTTCTTTCTAATAGAAAGTTTCAACATGAGTCTGGTAATGCAAACACCTCACGCTACTTTTAATATTTCTTGCCCCCATCTTTAGAGTTCTTCAGAGCTGACCGAAGACTTCAAGTGTTAGGATACGACAAGAAATCTGGAAGTACTCTTATGAAGCATCCATGATGGCTGTAGCAACTAAAAGACTCGGAATAATTTTGTTTGAGTTCAATTACTACACTATCATACGATCAGGACAATACATAATGAAGAAAAAGCACAACATGACAGGGATCTTTAGTTAGACACTGGCTAAGTCAGAAATGTATCGTGAAGAAAGGCAGCTTCTCTCGTGGGACCAAATAATCCAACATCAAATAGCTTTAACAATGCTTCAGGTAACTCAATCAGGATTACTCGTCGACAAATACAAGCACTGCACGTGATGCAAATTAAAAAGGGCAAAGCCACAAAGGGAAATCTTTTATGGATGACTGACTTTTTATATCGCACTTCCTAACTTCACTGACTCATAAACCTCCATCCAAATATCCAACTGAAATCCTACCCACTCCTCAACATCAGTAACAGAAACAATTTCATGCCAAACTTGTTATCTAACCGTGTCAATGCTCACTTCATAATAAAAACATTGCACATAACATTAAAAACTCATTTGACAAGAAACAGTCACACAAGAGAGTACCTGATACATGGTTTGAGGTGGTGGCTGACTAAGGAGTGAAGGCTGTCCTTGGCTGAATGATCCAATGCTAGAAGGAGGCCTGGAAGCTGACTGATCAATTCATCAAGAAAAAAAATTACTACCGCTATTCAGCGAAAAAACGCAAGAATAATCTAGCATTGACTAAAAGCTCACATGATATGATGGCTGTGATCCATGCTGAGAACCACCAGAGGGATGAAACCCGACATTAGGGCCTATCTGAGAGGGATACTGTTGATGGAAAGAAGACATCGATGAGGGTCTGTTTTGTGGATGCATTGGCGGTTGCAAGGGAGGCTGAAATGGAACTTGAGGAATTCCACTTGTCTGTAAGGGTTGTTGCAACTGGACTGTGGCAGTGGGCATTTGGGGCTGTTGAAGTGGAGGCGGCTGTGGAGCAGAATGAAGTGGGAGTGGAGCCATTGTGGGCACTTGAGAAGGTTGAGGAAGGGTCACTGGAGTAGCTTGGACGTTTTGATGCATCTTAGGCTGCTGAGGTGGCTGTAGAGCATGTGAAGGGAGAGGCTGAAGATTAGCTGAAGGAACACTAGCCGATGCAATTGGCATTCCGGGTTGGCTTTGACTATGATTTCTGGTAGGAAATTGAGTTTGAGACACACCCCCTTGATCTGGAAAACCAATTTTACCAGGATATTGATGAGCTGTCTGAGGGTTCGGTTGCTGAGGTGGCTGTGGTAGCTGCTGAGGAGGCTGCACTAGCGGCTGAGGCTGTTGTGATGCTGGAACTTGAATTTTTGGAAGCTGTAGATTATTGAAAATTATTATAGCATCCAGAAATGTATCGATGTAGAACAAAAAGGTTAAAGTGATATTACCACTTGAGGAGGCTGCACCATTCCGAGCATAATTTGTGCCTATAGGAAGAGTAAGTTCCAGTTAACGGTGAGCCCAGAAATCAGTGGTCAGCACGAAATGACAGAATATATGAAAAGATAACACTAAAAAGTGATGGAGCAATAATACGTATACAGGAACCGGTACATAGAATAATAGAGAGATCATTGCACCAACATAGAACTTGAGATACAATATATGCTAATCCATTATCACTTACCAAAGAAACAGACAGCTTATCAATAATCTACTCCTAAAATGCACAAACAATTCCTTAGTATGTTCAGAAAGTGGATTCAACCTCCAAGATCATTGTTTAGGCACGAAACCGTGAATATTTCAGGTGCATCAATTAAAATTTGGAAGGTGTCGAGGGAAATTATTATCTATAGACTCCAGAGGATGGAAACATGTCCAGGGGCTGAAATTAAGTCCAGTTACTCGTCCTGCTTTCTCGTGCTTGAAAAGAACTGTGTTCGCGCAATCACAAGGCCAAAAAGGAATGCCGGGGGGGTCTCGAACTGCCCCGAGCATGAGCAACCTCCGAAATCGCACCCGAATTGCCACGGGCCATCATGACCAAACCACAGTCCCTCGAAGTTTATTCAATACAAATCGAAGTAAGGACCCAAAACAAAACTGGCACATCCAAGAATCGCCCAATCCAAGAATTCCAAAAACGAAAAAAACTTTGAAAGATAATCCAAACATTCTCGAGCTACCTGGAATAGGGTTTTAGTCAAGAGCGGATTCTGGATCAGTATTTCTCTCGCTTGTTGGTGGTTCTGCTCGATCAACGCCTGCCACAACCATACCAATTAGAAACCGGAAAGTAAAAAAAACAGAAATTCACAGCAAAACCCCCCTCAATCTTTCCCTCGAGCGTTGCTCCGGCGAACAGAAGGGCAACGAAGAAAACCCGCCGAGGATAAAGAGAAGGAAGACGAAACCAAGAAGCGGAGACCAAAAGGAGGGGTGGGGAAAGAGAAGAAGGAAGTGCCTTCATCTGAGACATGATGTCGTAGAGCTGGTTCTTCGACATCCCGGCGAGGCTCGCCGCCGTGCCGTCGCCGACGAATTGCCGCCCCGCCATTCCGACACGGAGGAGAGTTTCGATCCGTCCTTTGTTTCAGTGAACCAGTGTGTGTTCGATTGTCTCCTCCTCCGTCAGTGGCCGTTAAAGTATGGATCTTTTTTGGTTAGACCGGACCAAGGCGGCAACTTTTTGGGCCGACCGGCCCAATTTGGTCGCTCGCTTCATGGGCTTCTTCTCAACCGGCCCAGTAATTTCTGGGCTTTTTCATGGTTTAAGGGTTTCACGTCTGGTTCGCAAGTGTAACAAGACGAGCAAGAGCGAGAGAAGGTGGTTCGAAGAACAGCGAAGTTGTTCACTTGCTACACCTCGTGAAGAGATGAACTCTCCGACATACTTCTCGTATTGTGATCTCTTCAGCATGATTAATAGGAAATTTCATTAGCCCAATTCGACCCAAAAGTTAAGCAATGGCCAGACAATACGCGATAATTGTTCATCTTCTAGCTAACTGAAAATTTCGGCTATTTAATGCGCGGATCACTAATCGTCAATCGTTTTGACTTTTGACTTTCCCAAAAGTTACAATGCTGTAGTGATGAGAGGGACTGAGTGCTCGGTTACAGCTCCTCCATCACCATAGTGCTAACATATAGCACTCCATTCACATAAAATTATACAAGAGATGGGTAAGAGTTAAGGCCTTGTTGATGTTAACTTTTACAGTTTTAATTGCCTTCGTATGGAGTAGTCCAATTGAATGGTAGCGCCTGCTGTTCTTGGTTGGTTCCAAGCTCGAAAGGTTCCGATGAATTATCAGCACGACGATTCATACTCGGCTCATGCCCAAAAGGATAAGTCCCATGGGATAGTAATGAGTAGTCGGGCATGGTGGCGGCAACTTCTCTCGGTTGGAAAGTCCTTAACTGCAATGCTTTGAGGATGAGAGAATTCCACGGTGCGTTCGAGCTTCGAAAGCCAGAAGGCCATGGTGGCGGCAGCGGCAAGCTTGTCTGTTCTCTTGTCGTTGGCCAATTCAAATTGTTGTTGAAGATGGTGTCGCTATTGCAAGCGAGTCCTGATGGAAGATTGCTAAATGCACCTGAAGTGGCGATAATGATGTTTGGACTGCTGTTGTCTGTCTCCATCTGTTCTCCATAATAGTTTGCAATTGTATCTTCGCCGATGGGAGAATCAGGAGAAGGCGGTGAGGATGCCGTCTGCGGCTTCTTCATTGCCAAGCTCTTCTGGAAAACCCTACAAACCACCCATCCGTCCTGCAGAATGAACCGTGAATAGTATTGACAAAATCAGAGTAAATTCGTGAAATTCTTCCTCTCGAGTATGTTCTATAGAGAAATCTGAAAATGATGGGCATACATGAATGCTGATGGTATAATATTGAGTTGAGCAGATTGATTTGTATTGCATATAGACAATAATAGGATGTGGAAAGAGTGTATCCCATGATATAACTAAAACGTCAATGGACATCGATCATGCGCTAAATTATATGGAGTTTCTCATATTACTCCAAAGATAGGATTGGTCAAGTTTTACAGGTCAAGTGGCAGCCATATGAGTCTGCATACTGTTCTTCAAATTCCATAACATCCTACCCACCTATCTGACCGAGTAAACCCAAAGACTAGCTACTTTTCCTCATCAAAGTATCCGATGCATCATTTGATAGCATTTGAAGAAAGAGATGTGTGACCTATTACTAATTAATGAGCACACGATGTCTCGAAGAACATTACCATGGATAGACACAAGTGCTCGCTTTGTAGCCTATATTCATGCATGACCCAATTGCTTTTCTCACCCCTTGGGGCTCGACCTTTGTAAAACACTAGGGTTTTCTTCATTCCGACGAGAAGCCCAGCTCGGAAAATCTCCTTGTCCTTTCCGGTAGTTTTCCAATAGCCTGCTCTTGTCGCTCGGTTGGTCCGGAGTCCAGTTGGGTATTTCCTGTCTCTCAAGCTGAAGAAGTACCATTCTTTCTCTCCCATGGACGCTTTGCCTACACATATCACCCGCATATATATACGTAAATAAGCAAGAGATTATTGATGGCAATTTATGGCAACATAAAGATCTCCTTCCGTGTAGAAAAAAATGTTTAGAAAAAAATCTTAATGCTATATATATTTTGCATGAAAAGAAGGATATGTATTTGAAAAAGATCGAGGAGGGAACTTCTCCTTTTGTGGGGATAATTTCTGAAATGCAGCATATATAAAAGTTTCGAAAAAATGATAGTAAGAGCAATCGATCAAGACTCAGAATTTGTATATGCTTCTGCAAAATGGGTATCTCTTTCTTTAGCAATCTTTCATACTGCATTAAAGTTGTGGGGAGATTGAAGTTTTAACCAAAAAGAAAATCTGCAGTGATCAACTATCAATCAAGACACTTGAAGAAAACCCTAAACTCATCATTTATAAGAGAAACAGCTGAATCAATAAGCTATCCAAAGGCTAACATACATACATACACGCAAATGTAAACACAGGTATATAACTCCGAAATTGTTAAGCTATATACCAGGGAGGTCCCAAGGCTCACACTTGTTGAGATCGACGTCGACGATGGCTTTCGAAGTGAAGCTTTTCTCGGACACCTTCGGAGTCAGATAATATGTGATGAGTTCTTCATCTGTTGGATGGAACCTGAACCCAGGAGGAAGACGATTCTCCGCCTCCATATTTCTCTCTTTTCGCCAAGCGAAACTAGGAAAAATAAAATGAAATTCAGTACGGAATAGTGTGTCTATAAATAAGCACCCAACATGCACAAGTTGAGACGCATTTAATATGACATATTTCTCTATAATCACGATGAGATAGCCTCGGTTCAAGTTCTCTCCGTGGCTCCTTCTAGCTCTCTCCTCTCCAAGAAGAAGCACTGGCCATCTTCTTATAGTCTTTCTTTACGATTTTTTTCCTGATCACACCAGCTAACTTCTTGACAATGATGGCGCAGTGCGGGTTTGAATATCTTAACCACATCAGAATCTTTATTAAGATCGAGTTATTGAATGGGCTGGTTTTCCTGTATTACTAGGCTTTATTTGTCAAGTACAGCAAAATCGTAACGTACACCATATAGATGCATTCTAAGATGCAGATACATGAATCAACTAAACATATTTGGATTATTTGATGACTAGTTTCCAGGCACGCATAGTTTCTGTATTTTTACACCGTTTTATTTTCTGCAGCAATGACTAGAATCGATTAATACTTGACATTCACTGTATTGTTAAAAGAATGACGATTACTCAAGAGCACGAGTTTGAGTTTATGAGTATGGAACTACTCTCTCTTTTTTCTCTCTTTTTTTCCTTCTAATTCTATGTTTGTGATCTTATCCAACTACCTCCAACCATTTCCAACCCAACCCCAGAAAACCTGTGTGCTAGGCCAGTTGGATTACGAGACCCAAAAACAAAGCCAATTGGATTATTGTTTTTAGGGCACAACTTGGTTGCTGCCACAGTATGCGACGCCAGCATGCAACCTTTTACGAACGTCATATTATATAGATATAAATTATGTTGTAGACACATAGACAGTGAGATTTATTGCTGAATCTTGATGATCTGCATAGATTATCAGCGATAAATCTCAGCAAATGCCTTGCCAAGCAAACCCTGATAAAATTCAGGACAGGAAGAAAACCGGAAGAAAGAAGAGGTAAGCATTAACATGAAACTTGGACATTGTGAGCGGTGATGGCAACCAGTCGGGAAAATTGGGCTTGACCCGTCTGAGTCCTATGAAGTCATAGTTGGGTTTTGGGTTGTGGGATGGGTTATGAATCCCATTTGAAAAAATCATATAAGGTTTCAAGTGTTGAATTAAGTTGGTTATTGGTCCTAAGCAGATCCTTAAAAGGCTCAAGGGGAGACAGGGGAAGGAACTCCCCAGTATGGTGGAGGGTCTTCCCTATAAGTTATCTCCGTATTCCTGCTCTTCCGGGAAGAAAAACAATGCAAGGGAACTTAGAGGACCTTTGGGTGGGAAAAGTAGACTCTACGTTAGCTTCGGCTAGCTACCGCCGAATAGACAGGTATAGTAGCCTTCCGCGCCTAGAGCGACAAGGTGGTTGCTTGCAACCTGCTCAGTTGGCCTAACCAGTATTTCGAGAAAATCGGCCTGACCCGTCCGAGTCCTATGAAGCCATAGTTGGGTTTTGGGTTGTGGGATGGGTTCTGAATCTCATTTGAAAAAATCATATAAAGTCTCGAGTGTTGAATTAAGTTGGTTGTCATCCCGAAATCCGTATTTGATTAATCATATTGTAAACTTATAAAGCTTCTTTCACCACCATATGTTTGATTTATCCACCATATCAAAAAATAAACACACCCAATTAAGAGGGAGAGTTTGTATATATTATGAGTTCTCATGTACTTCAGAGTTGAGTTGGGCACATTGACTGAAAACCATATTCGATTTTATGTGAATATACACATACATATATAGAAGTGAATGTTTATAAATGGTGTCTGGTTTGGGTTATAATTGGGACTAAATCATATTTTGGATTGTCACGGGATATATGGATCCTAAATACTTTTTTTTTTTTGGTCAGAGATCTAAATATTTGAACTCTTACTAAAATAGAACTTTGTCTATCGACGGTGTTGGAGGTGACAGGTACTAGAAATTAATCCAGATTATTGATGTTGTGATTTACTACCAATGGATGACATGGATAACTTCATCGCCTTAAATTATGGCACATGACCATTATATCTCCACTAGTGTTGAAATACTCCACATTGCTCGACTATTGAGTTGATATGTTCTTTACATTCATATGGTCTTCCTTCACCAATCAGTTTAAACTTTTAAATTAGATATTTTCACATAGTATCAGAGTCAGGTTTTGCCTCAGTTTATTTTGCGGGTGTATCAACTTTATTTGTTAAATTTCATATAATCAAGTGTGAAAAGACTTTGTGTGAAAGGACTTTGTGCGGGGTGGTTAAAAATGGTTACCAAACCCTAAGACTGCATGCCCCATTAAGTACCGCACTTAGCTGCCAATTTTCCGTTGGCTCATTCAAAGAAGTGAGAGTTGTTTCCTCCCCGATGCAACGATGCAAGAGTCCTCCACGTTCTGTTCTTCAAACCCTCTTTTCAAATTTCGGTCCTAACAAGAAATTGACCCCGTCTTGCCTTCATGAGTTTTCTTGCCATGCTTCTAGAAGTGATTTCAGCCACACACTGCTTTGTGTTTCCTTGCACCTTCGTTTACTTTCAAGGAGATATCATTAATCAGGCATTATGTTTAAATGAATGGAAGCAAAGTACATATAATTGATCGAAGAGACAGACATTGAAATGGTCCAGAAAAAAAAAATAGTTAAGTGGTTCTGTGACCACTAATTTCAATGGAACGTAGCATTCAAATCTACATGGTGTTAGGAATTTGGGATCGTCCAGTTTTATCTTTACATATCGCTTTTACGCATAGCATTGTTTCAAGAAAAGGTCTCGATTTGTTGAAGTCCTATCGGGCCCGTAATAATTAAACATTAACTGTACGGATGGAAAAATATTTCGGTAGTCTCCTTCTACGGATGACGCGGTGAACGGAGCCAAGTGAGTGCGGAATTCGTACGGAAATATGTGTTCTTCGTAGGGTCTGGTACGAGTCTCGCCGTCTCTTGATCTGAGACTGACGTAGTCAGCTAGATTAATTATAGATAATATATACATTTCGATTGACGTGTTCTTGGATCCGTTATTCACTTTTATCATTGATTTTTTTTTATGCTCTGGATTATCCACGGGGAGCTTCATTTGGTGAATTTAGGTCTGTCCTCCAAGGTTTTCTCACCTAATATAGTTCCAAGATATCATTTGCACTCCTCAGCAAAACGTCAAACAATTTGCAGGTGCTTTTAGAGGCCGAGGCCTTGAACGAAAACTTGAATGGATCGAGTGTATTCGAGACCGCGTCCACAGCCTCTTTGCTGGGCCGTAATCAACCGCCTAGCCTGAGAAACAAAAGAAAATAGTTTGACCAGTAAGCCCATTTGCAAGCGCCACGTCAACGGCTGACATGGCAGGCGCTTATTTACCGATGCCCAATTAAATCTCGACACGTGAATATTGATTTGGAAATTGAAAAACAATAATTTCTATTCTCTTTTCCTCCTCCGTCTTCAACCTCCGCTCCGCCTAGACTTGGTTATCTCCACCGCCAAGCCGCCACCTTACTGTGGCCACCACGTCCGCAGCAAAGCTGTCGAGCTCATCACCGGCAGCCATGGGTGAGCCAAGACTCAAGCTGAAAGCTGTTGAGCAGAAGACCAGATCTAGCTGTTGAGCAAAGGTTGATCACCGCGTTCAGGCCAACCTCTGCATCCACCCTCTCCATCGTCCCGGCAGCTAAGCCTTGGCCGCGAGCACTCGTCCACAGATATGGAGATGCAGAGTAGCGGACAGCCATGGACGGCCTCTCATCCACAGATTTGAACGACAACCTCCGCAGCCAAATGTAGCGTTCTTTCAAAAACTTCGTGGCCATGGACGTTGGCTCGAGTCATTTGACCCCACCATGTGTATAAGTGAATGAGAGTAAAATATGCTTGCCACATTAGAATTTGACATGGCGCTTTATAACTATTGAATATTTTCTCATTTTGAGTTGCTTTCACATATCTTATTGCAATTGTTATGTGACCTCGATTCAAAATCAGACAAAAAGCCTTTAATAGATACTAATATGTAGTGAATTTTGAAGCCATATAAAAATTTCTCATAATATTTTAGATATTAAATTAATTCCACTTCTGTTTGATATAAGAACTGTTTTTCATTTGAAAACAAAAATAACTCTAAAAGAGTTTAAATGCTAAAAATATTATCAAGTAAATATAAGAAAAACTATTCCACTTTCATAATATATATACATATATATATAGAGAGATATGTTCTAAAAATGGAGACGATGGCTTGGTGACTTGTCAGCCATGATATTGGCTTGGTGAAAGCTTAGCCACAGCGACCGTCTGGCGGCGGCTCACCAATGACCGCAAAGATGTTGCAGATCTTCAATGGCAGATCTGCAGCAAGACGACAACGACTCCTTTAAGTGTAGGTGTGCTAGCTTAAAAAACATTAAAACAAAATGGAGTTACCCATTCTTTAGAAGCAACAATTTAAAGGAAGAAAAAAATTGCTAAGAATGGAGCCGGGGTTGGGTCGGTTATGGATTACTCCGGATTGGGTCGGGTACGAGGTGCTAAACAAATTTTACATTAAAAGCGTCATTTGAGTCGGATCATTTTCGAGCCGGTCCAAAACTTACTCCAATCCGCTCGTTTGACGAGCCTAATTGGCAGCCGCAATGAAAGCCGGTCAAAAGCTAGCTATGGAGCCGCACATGGTTGGTGGATGCTAACTGTCAAGAGACCTTTGAAAAGGTGCTCCCTCCACTTGCCCGATCGAGTGTAAGGCCAAGGGCCCTGAGGGTGTTGCCCATTTATGAGGGGGATTGCCCACTTCCCAACACCACATGTGGAGGAATCAATGAATGCCCAACTTGAGACCACACAAAATTCCGAAAGGGATGAGAATGCCTACGTTTGTGGGGGTTCCCCCCACAACAAAATTCTCCAAAATCTTTTGTAAAAGACCCCATGTTAAATCCTACGATCCACAAAAGGGTCGAGCTATAGACACTACTCTAGTCCTTTAGGTTAAGCATTTGTCTATCCTTGCCCTTTTAATCGACTCGCGGGTGCACGCTCGGCCTAACAATTTCCCCGCGACAAAAGCGATTCGGTACACCTTCCGTACCACGTGATAAACATCGCGCGCGAGAGAGAGAGAGAGCCAGTCAGAAGCCGCGCACCCTTTAGAATCCACGCGGAAAGTTAGCGTCAGACCCCTTCTACCGCCGCTACGACGAGCGGCTCGCTCTTACCATGTCAACAGCGAAACCGATACACAAAATACGGTTCTCCTTCCGGTCTTCCTATCCGTGACGGAGGCAGACGACTGAGATAGCGAAACCTAGTTATAATCCCACTACTTAGTCTCTGATCCTTATCGAGAGCTACAAGAAGCCGGAATGGGGCGTATGTTCGTGGAAAGTGGCACACGTCTCCATGGGCCACTAAGAATAATGCTAGTAATGCCTAACCAATCATCGTCCTCCAATGCGGTATTATTATAAAGTTTCGCGCACGAAATTTCGTCTCAAACTCTCCGACTCTATATTATATTTCTGTGAAACTGTTGAAATTTCAACGATGATTCTTGATAAGCACGAGACATATTCCACTCCTACAAGACAACCTTGTCGCCGAGGCCAAAAGAAAGAAAAGAAAGAAAAGCTACTTTAGGGACGGCACCATAATAAGGGAAGAAACAAGCGATGATATTCTGCTTTTTCTGCTAGTTATGAGGTGCACACAATCAAATTGGAGAAAGGGGGGCCCCTTCTTAATCAATCGAAGCTAGCCTCGCATCACTGATCAAGCTCGAATCTAACACGTGTCGATCGATCGATCGGATACTTTACATTCCACTCTCCAATCAAGCGTCGCTTCGTTTGGATCGGTATACCCGCGAAATCGATAAAATATAGTGATGCACGTATTTTGGGTGTCATTATTTGAATTTCCATCTTTTTGGTAATAACGTGTCGAAATTTTACTATAAATGTGAAGGGTGGATATCCCATCCTCTTATTAACCAAAAAAGCGCAAATTTCCGTGCGTGCAAAATGAATTTGAATATATACTGAAAGAAGGAAAAGGACAGATCGAATGCGAATTTAAGGAAATGGATTTAATTTGTGGTAAAATGGGAAAGATTCCATTGAAATTCAGAATATACTCCGTATTTACGAGAGAAAAACGGGAGTTGTGTCGACTATTTTAAGTATTTTCAGTAGGGGCAAGCGGGATTTTCATAAACCCTAAAATATCAGACAAATTTGCTAAAAAAAAATCTTCCTTTCTAAATAATAAAATAAAAAAAAATCCACTTTTTTTGGTCATGAAATCTTTTTTATTTCCTTGACAGTATCTTTCTTAATAAATAATTTATCGACATTCTTACGCACGCGTGCATCACGTGGAACAGACCCTGCCCCACTTGCATACATTTTTTTTAGACAAAATTTAAAATAAGGACCCGAAGTACTCTCATTTTCTCAAATAATGGCCTAAAGTGGACTATGTGTCAAATGAGAGCCTAAAGTGAACTTATATTCTCAAATAAAGACCTGAAGTGGCTATAACAGTTTCAAATAGAGGCCTCACCCCGTCGGCTTGCCGGTCGGTCAAATTTTCCGACCGACCAAGGGCATGTTTGTCCAAAAATAATTTTAACATAAATTTTAGTTAAATTAGATTTAAAATTTAAAAAAAATTAAAAAATAAAAATAAAAACAAGGGGCAGGGCTGGCGACTAGCCCTCCCCGCCTGTGGCCACCGCCCCATCGCCGGTGGGGCGACGACGACCGCCGACACTTCAGTGAGGGGGCGAGGGCCTGTTGGCCCTCACCTCTGGCCGACGAGGGTCACCAACCCTCGTTGAGGCGCCGGCAACCCCGCCAGCCATCGCCGTCGTCCCACAGGCAATGGGGCGGCGGGGCTGGCCTCTCCCTTTTTTTTTTTTTTTTTTAAACTTTAGCTTTTTTTTCTCTTTTTTGAGTTTGTTTTTTTATGGAAAAAACTAAAAAGGAAAAAAATCAAAAAAAAATTAAAAGACGAAAATGCCCTTGACTGTGGTGAGGTGAGGCCCTTAATTGAAATAGAGATGGCCACTTCAAATCCTCATTTGAGACAAAGTTCACTTCAAACCCTTATTTGAGAAAATGAGGACACTTCGTATCTTTATTTGACACATGATTCACTTCAAGTCCCTCTTTGAAAAAATGAAAGCACTTCGAGTTCTTATTTAGAATTTTCCCCATTTTTTTATCTCACCATGACCGAATAAAGCTTTTCTCCTTCCGCGCTTTTTCTTTTTCCCCCCGGAAAAAAAGAGAAGAAAAAAAGAAGAAGGGATCCGACGGCCGAGATTCGAGATCGCGAAAGTCAGAGGAATAAACCGGATCCAACGGCGGAGACGCCCGATCTCACGGTTGCACACTCAGATCGGGCCGCTTTATCCCGCAACCCTGGCCCACTTCTCCATCTTCTCCATCTTCTCTGTCTTTCTCTCTCTCTGTGGCTGCTATGAATACCCGGCGAATTCCTGCGCTCTCCCTCTCTCTCCTCTCCTTCGCCGAAGATCTCTCGCTCCTCGTGTCCCTCCTCTAGCCTCCCTCCTCGTGGTGGAGGAGCCTCTCGTGCCGTCTCCTCCCCCCCCTCAGGTCCCCTGTCCATATCTCTCTCTCTCTCTCTCTTTGTCTTTTCATGTGCGCAGATCTGCGAACTCGGATTGGCGACGCCGCGCGCCTCTGGGGATTTCTCCGTTCCGCGAAAAATCCCTTTTTGATTCTGGGTCTGTCGGGAACTTTTGCGTTGCGGAGGAAGATGACGACCCAGAGCAGATTTTTTTTCTGTTTTTGATGGATTTTGTGTGGTCCTTTTTCTTGCGATTCTTTCATGGATTGTGTTGACGCCTTTCTCTTTCTTGTTTCGTGGGTTATCTATTTTTGGGGGGCTAATTTTGGTCGCGGGATGGGGATGAGATGGAACTTTGCTTTGCATAAAAATGATGATAGCGTTTGTGTTGTTTGTGAGCATATCTGGTGTCTTTTTGCAGGCGTTCCCGTTCGGTTAATTTGACCGGCGAGACCGAGGATGAATCGGTGCGGGTATCAGCAGAAGAACGCCATGGGAGGGTACGAGGGGATGAGGAGGGTGGTGGAGCCGGTGGTGTGCCCAAAGCCTCGTCGATTCGGCCTGTTGAATCAGTCCATGGACGATCCCATCCGGCCTCTGAGACGCCATATCAAGTAATCCGTCGCATCTAGTCTCTCTTTCTAATCTCGTGGTGTTGGTTGATTTGGGTGTTTGATTCTGGCTGATTTGCGGTTTTTTCTTTCCTTTATCTTCTGCCGTGAACAGTCACCACGCAGAGGCAGGAGATTCAACTGCCGGGGCTGAGCTTCTTGACATCATATTAACGAAGGTCTCTCTCTCTCTCTCTCTCTCTCTCTCTCTCTCTCTCTCTCTCTCTATGCTGGTTGGAGAGTTGCTTCTTTTCTATCTTATCTTGGTATTTTCAAAGTAATTTTGTGACTACTGGCTGATTTTTTTTCTTGATTTATGTTAACAACCATCTTTTGTACAATCGGTTCAGTAATGAAAATCTTTCTTAGTAGATATGATCAACAAGTGAACCCGACACACTCCCTCTTTCCTTTTTGCCATTTTCTATCTCCATCAGATCTGAGCTTCCCCTCAAATGGTTTTAGTTTTTAGTGTTCTCTGGAAGAGTTTCCTATCTGTGAGCACAAGGTCAAATTTGTTTCCTGCCTAAGGCAGGATTAGATGTAGGGGTTACAAGTCTTCGCTTTCTCAGTTTTAAACAGAGATTGATTTTTTTTTTTCCGGGTTGAGTTGTAGAAGTAGGAGAAGAAGCTTTTTGTTTGCTTGATTTTTTTGCTTCTTTGTTCAATTTTGATTCTAACTGTCTGCTCTTAGCTTGTGCAGGGAGGTTATGGCGGTGAGAGATCCGCTGCTCCGGTGGCTTCATCGCCACCATTTTTCTGCGGATCTCCTCCATGCAGGGTGTCAAACCCCGTGATCCAAGATGCCCAGTTTGGGACTGAGCAGTTAATGCCATCATCTCCCGCACCACCATCGCCATCATCCTTATCTGCACGTAAAGCAGCAGGAGGAGGAGGATCTGTGAGGATGAAGTTCGGGCATAAGCCCGCTGCTGTGAGAATCGAAGGTTTCGATTGCCTGGGGAGAGATCGCCGCAATTGCAGCATCTCTGCCTTAGCTTAATCACAGGCCATGCATAACATAACTATTTGCAGAACATGAAGGAAAAAGAGAGAGGCTGCTAAAAATTTTTTGAGATGGAAGAGCAGAGGTGGTAATTTTGGGAGAGATGAAGAGGAGGAACTAATCAAAGATAAGGCGAATCTGTAGTTTTCTACTACTACTATTACTACTTGTATATATGAGTCAATGGGATGTCGTTGCTGAGTATTTTTTTTTTTATAAATTTTCTTGGGTTTCAATCTCAAGAACTTGTACATGTAACTTATGGGGTCGTGAGAGACGTTAAATTTTTGCAGAATAAAAGGGGGAGAGAAGTCTCTCTCTTTGTAGGGTGTCTGTCTGTACTTCGTTCTGGTGAGAGTTGGTTGATAAGTGTTAAGAAGGAGGGGAAGGGAGGGACTGAGAGACAGACAGAGGGTCTGTGTTGCTCTATGGAGTCTTGTTTCATCACTTTCATTACTCTTGTCCTCCATTGCTAGTTGTAATTTGGAGGAAGAAGTGGAGGAGTGGTGTCCTTTTTTTGGGAATTTGACATTTCGCTTGCATCATCCTGCAGCAATCAATAAGGTCCTGTACAAAAGCACATGGATGATGAGATTTGGGCAATCTATATATGTAAATAATTGAATTTCTTTTGTTTCTGTTGTCTTGGTGATGTCATCTATGTGAATGAATTCAATAATATTTCTTGCGACTTGGGCCAAGGCTGCTGAGCATGTGGTCTTTTTCTTCTTGTTGGGTCGTTGAGGTGGACAAATGAAACTTCTTGGTACTATCGTCCCACGCTTGGGAATTGTAAATTTCATGCTCTGTTGGTTCTTGTGGTTTTGGATTTTCATGGAGATGGGTCCCGGAGACGGTGATATTGATGGTTTTACGAATTTGAAAGGTCTAAAAGGTGGGTGGGGGAGAGTGGGTGGTGTTACTGGTGTGCGGGTGGTGATGGGTGAGTTGAATTAAAGGGGCTAGGGTTTGGCCATACTTAGTGGTTGAGACGTCCTGTGCTCTGTCATGTGATCCCGCTTTTGTTTCTGTACGTAAGGGTTTGCTGTTAAAGGAACAGACAATGGTAATTGTTCCTTTTAACCATTGTCTTTGCATGTGCTTTAATGATTGAGCTTCCGAATTTAGGCAGAGGAGCGATGCTGTAGCCCTATTGTGCGGTTGAGACACAAAGTTGTGCTTATTGGCGTTGCAAATCTTTGATCGGAACCAACATTGCAATGAATCGAAGGTCCTTTGCACAAATGAATCGAAGGTTCTTTGTGATCGAGAAGCTACTTTAAACCTCCGACCAAGGGTGCGTAATGTGCACCACGTGATGTTCTGAGTTTAAGTTACCTGTCCGACTTGATCATAGATGGTTTTTTGTGTCGTGATTGGGAAATTCAAGGTAGATTTCTACCCTCTCGAGCTCCAAGAGCTGATGTTGTGCTAGGTAACGAATCACTGTCAGACTTGCTTGATCAATTTAACACTTTGGGGACGCAAGAGGATAACGATTCCCGGCCTGTCTGCAAGATGATAACCGACGCAGTGAAATCGAACCGAAGCCACTAATATCTTACCCGTCTTGAATCCGGACGACTCCCCTTTTATGTTAATTACAAGTCAGCATCTGATTCTTGCATGGACTCGTAATTCAAGTACCAGGTAGCTTGGTTCTGCTCATCCTGAGTCCTCTTTTATAGCTACCTCTGCGGATCTTGCTCTTCTTTGGGTTCGTGAGGGCGGTTTGCGCGTGTTTCTCCGTAGAATGCTTCTGCTTTCTCATCAATCACTGGTATTGAAGCAGGAGTAACACATTTGCAAGGTGTCATCTCTTTCTGGGATTTGTCCTGGGGGTGATGAGAACAGGACAATGTCAGAGCTATTGGGCCTTCCATATTCGAGGTCCATCATCGACCCATTTGACCGGTTAGTCCCTTTTCCTTGTACAACAATACAACCATTGAATTTCCACCATTTCTTGAAATGTGAGCACCTGGGTCTATAACTAGTTGACTTTTGATCGTCAATTGAGTGCTTAACATGAAGAAACAGAAAAGAAAGGTAAGTCGAAACGCAATGTGTCATACGGAAGTGTGACTCGTTCATTTGCATTGTGATGTAGGGAAGTGGGTTTGGTGAGAGGGATATAGTTCTTGGATAGGCTTCTTGATAGATTTTGTGTGGTGCATAATGCATTAGCTTTTACCATGCGACAGAAGCCAGAAGGGTCATTTTCCATTGTGGAAATTAACCGTACATATTGGTCACATAAAGCTTTTCTACTCAAGAATCAAAAACTCTCGTCTCGTCTGGATAAATTCCAAACTCTAGAAATACTGAGCTAAACTTATGATCTAGATATAACTTAAAACACAAGTCAAAATTCGAATCAATGATCCAAACATGGGATTCTTTATTCTTGATTACGTTTGTACTTTAATATTAGGTGCTCGGGTGAAAAAGCAATACATTGTTCTCCTCACTGCGGTTGTATTAGTATTGGATTTCGCACGCATGCATACATGGACTCTAGCAGCATTCCATATACTAAATGTAAGCTGCATACACAGGCATTCCGTAGAGTATATCTATGCATACAAGTTTCAAGACCATCACTGTACTACGGTTTGTATCATCTTGCTTCGGCAATCAATGTCGATGCATAATCTTGTTTTTTTGTTTTGGTTATACAAGCACTATTAATCTTATGACGAGTACAAAGATTAATGGATTACAAATGTATAGTTTTTATCTTTCGTTGACAATCTACCGATCGTAGAAACGTTTCATTGTCCTCGAGTGGACCAGAAAGTCTCAGACTTGAATGATGAGAGGCAATAATTTGAATTCAATGCCATGGAGGTACACACATCCAACAGGACCACCACTCATTCCCTTCGTCCTCCTTCTCCTTATTATAACTTGTAAAATTATTCCATTATAACTCCAGTGAAACCACCTATCTTTCTGGTCTTCACTAACTAAAGTTCAAATACTTTCCCAATACCAATTTTATCCAAAGCTTTGTTTCAAGTATCAGCAACTGATAGAAATCAAACGCATCAAGAAATGCCAAATCACAAAGAAACCAGCACTCCAAGAACAGAAAAAGCTCTCTTATATTATTATCAACAAAACGTAGCGGCGAACATTTGGAGCTAGCGTCGGCATAACACTTTATCCCTCGTTACTTTCCATTCCATTCCATCGAGAAACTCAACGAAACGAAAAAGGAAGCACGTTATGAAAAATGATGAGAGAAACTTAAATCGAAGGGAAAACAAAAAAGTTCACAAAATCGGCCTAAGAAACCAAATCCAAAAGATGGGGGGTCACTTCAACAGTTCGGAGCGCAGTGAACTTAGAAGCCCGGGGGCTTGTAGGCGATGAAGCTAATGCATTGCACTTGACGCTTGTTGTCGAAGCCAATGATCCTAACAAAACTGTTGGGGTACGCTTTGATGGCCTCGTTGAGCTCCTTCAACACCTGCAACGGGTCGGTGCACCCGAACATGGGCAGCTTCCACATAGTCCAGTAGCGACCGTCGTAGTACCCGGGGGACTTGTGGTTCTTGCGGTACACGAATCCCTTCTGCAATCGCGAAAACGCAGAAATAATCAGACTCGAATCCCATTAAATCTCATCAAATATGTACCATGATCATGTGCTTCAGAGGTTTGTCCATGGTGAAACTGAAGCTGCAGTATAAAGAGATTGGAATTGGAAATGACCTCGAGCTCGAACTCCAAGCAAGGAACCCAGTTCATGCGGAGAAGGTACTCAATTTCCTTGAGGAGTTCCTCTCTTGAAAGGGGTGGGAGGTAGGAGAGAGTCTCGAACTTCTTCTTGCCAACTGGTGGCCACACCTTCACAATGCCAAATGACAAATCTCAGTTTAATGCACGAGCGTCAAAGATCGTCACGAGACTTATTTACTAGACGAGGCGTCGAACGCTGATCGGGTTCTCTACATGCACGTCGAAATGTCATCTTAATCCAGCAGCGCCGTGCACATAATCCCGCCGCTCGATATACCAATCTTATAACTTCATCTTCGCATCTCTATTTCTGCCTACCTGCATGCACTGGACTCTACCGCCGTTGCTGGCGAGGGAGGTTATGTCGTCGGACTTGCAGGTGGCGGGGAAGGCGGAGGCGGACTTGAGGCCGGTGAACGGGGCCACCATGCTGGCCTGCGCCGGGGAGGCGCCGTTGGCGGCGGCGGAGGAGACAATCGACGAGGCCATCTCTCACTCTCTCTCGATTCTTTCTTCCTTGCACTAACGCTGTTGAGCCTACTCGGGTGAGGGAGCCAATCTACGCACGCTCTTCCCTTAAATAAACCATGACCGAGCTCACTGCCGGCGGCGTGCCTCGTCCTTGGCTCCTCCGGATGACCATCCTACGGCGGACATTTGATCTGGAGGGTGTCTCGAGCCATCCGCGGCCGTTGATCTCGTGAGTGGTGCGACTCCCAAGGCAATGGCAAAAAGGCAATAGGGGTGCAGATGGAATTGCCAACTTTTTTGGAACCCATGTCACCTTGCCACGTGGACGAAGGGGGGCCCCGCAACCTTATCACGGCACGGCCGAGTTGAGTGCAAATTGAGGTTGATCGTGCGATTGCCCATGGCCCTTCGTTTCATGGGAGAGAGACATTTGAGTTTGGACCAAATGGTCATGTGGTTTCCAATTCTTGAATATCAAAGCCACGTATCTTTTTGGGTAATGGACAAAAGGAGTATTGGAGGGTATGTGTATATGTCGGGATAAAGGTTATGGGGGTTGCGAGTTGGAGGTATTGAGGCAGTGACATTTTGTGCATATTCCCAAAATTGGCCCATCTTTTCTTGGCTATTAGAAATTTCCAAGCAACTATGGATGTTACCTGATGGAGACGGCAAGATCGGACCAATAGTTCTTTCGAACGTATCCAAGCCTACCCATGTAAAGAATTTAACAACCAAGAAAAAGAATTTCCAAGCCTACCCACGTCCGGAGGGGATGGGAGACAGGCATTTGGTGGGTGTTCCACTTGTTTCGTTGGTTTGGAGTTGAGTTCTCTACAGAGAAGCCCAATGTTCTACTACAAGTTCAGGTTGAGCAATCGAGCCCATATTCCCCCGAGAACATGATGGGCCAGTATGATTGCTGTCAATCGAAATGGGGGAAAAATTATCCGAAAAGTCATAAATTTATTGTACTTTTATCAATTCGATCCTAAATCTTTTAATTGTGTCAATTAGGTTCTAAACATTTTCATGTTTCACCTAACGTGGACACCGGCCGTCTTATGTGGCACGGGCGGTACTAAAGTAGATAATTTTTAATAATATTTTACGATTTTTATTTTTATTAATTTCTTTCATTTTCTTTTTCCTTAATTATTTTTTTATTGATAAGGCCAATAAGGGACGATCGGCCACCGGCCGAGGCCTGGCGACCCCCGCCATCCACTGGGCGAGGGCCTGCGAGGCCTCACTAGCCACGAGCAAGGGCCGCGAAGCCCTCACCTCGCCAACCACTACGAGGGCAGTGAGGCCTCACCCAACTTTGAGCGAAGGCCACGAGCCCCCGTCAGCCGCGAGGGGAGGGCTCGCGGGCCTTGCGTAGTGGCAAGTGAGGGCTTTGTGACCCTTGTCTACGGCCAGCAAGGGCTTGCAGGGCCTCCCCCGGTGCCCCACGGGCCGCTGACCTTAACAATAAAAAAAAAAAGAAAAGAAAAGAAAAAGAAATAAAAATAAAAATATTCATAAAAATATTAAAATATTATTAAATGTCTACATTAGCGCTGGTCGTACAACATACGATAGCCGGCATCCATATCAGTGATTTCCAGTTAAAATTGGCCGAATAGACTAAATTGACAAAATGTGAAAAGGTTTAGGACTCAATTAGCAAAAATACAATAAGTTTAGAACTCTTTGAACAATTTTCCCTCAAAATGGTTATTAAATCAGTTTTTCGCACTCGTTTCAGCAACTACAACAAGCTCTATAGAGAAAATATTCGATGGTTACAAACTACCGCGTAAGCAGTTGGCTTGGCAAGAATTAATGTGAGTTGGTCTAATTACTAATTGACACGTGTCTCAAATTAAAAAACTCTAAAATATGGATTTTTCTCTCTTCCTCCTCCATCACAGCCACCACCCTGTCCGGCCACTTCAGAATCCACCACCTTGACTCGGCTATGTCCACCATTTCCGTCCGCTACCTAAGCCGTTGCAACCTCTATCTTCAACACCCATCACCCCACCATGGCCACCGCAACGAGTTCCCTACCTCTGTTCGATCGGTCATGGAGTCACTCTCTCCCCGGTGTCCCTTCAATTGACTTGCTCCAGCTTCGGCTTAGCACGAGAGCCTTGGCCACAACAGATTTAGAGCCATGGCCACGTCCGAGCCAGATCTGGAGGCACCGGCCATGGACAAGCAAAGACGACGATAAACATCCAGATCTGCGTGAAGACCCTCAACGGAGCCGAAAACGAAGACTGTGAACTTCTAGATCTGTAGTTTGTCCACGATCGTGAGCCTTGATGGCGAGGTCCATGGCGACACCGTTGGTGTGGCCTCAAGGTGGTACAGATAGAGGACAAAAAGAGAGGTGGATGGAGAATTTTAATTGTTTTCATCTAATTTCATGTCGATATATATGTGTGTGTATGTGTGTCAACTTGTAATTGGCTCGAAGTGCATAAATGCCCGCCACGTTAATTAGTGATGTAGAGCTCACAAGCCACTTAATATTTTCACGGCTCTTTGAGTCTTGGTGGCTAAGTGGCTCTAATAACAGTGGTTGTGATTTATTTGATATTCTCGCTTTGTACTTTGTAGGTGTTGAAATTGGTTCGGTTAACCATCTGAAATTGGTTGAAATTGGTTCGCTTTGTACTTTGTGATTTATTTTTTACAAAGTATCTTTGACATTGTTGTCAATATTTAAATTAAAAAAGTTACACTTATTATTTTTTTTTTCAATTATAAAAAATAAAAAAAGCTTAAATTAATCAGCAAAGGGGTTTTCAAATGTGTTTTCGCCAAACAGCTTTTCTCTCAAAATTGCTTCTCAAAGCAGAGCTTACGAAACAATTTTTTCATTTCTCCAAAAGCCATTTAGGCTAAACCGTTTTGCATTTTCTTAAAGCCTCTTAAAAATGCTGAACCAAACGCATCTCGTATGTACTCTCCTCGCTGAACAGCGGGGGTAAAAGGGGGACTTCACCGTCCCAACAAAGCAAGAATCCCGGAAAATCATGGCAGAAAGAAAACCACTTGCGCCTCCCAAAGGCTCCAAATCCACGTCCCGTCTGTCTCTCTATCCCCTATCTCTGTCTCTCTCCCGGGGCTCACGTATATATGCAACGACGAACAATGATTGAGCTCGAATTTTCAAACTCAAACGCGACCCGGTACGACCCAGAATCTGACCGGAACCAGGAGCCAGGCACGCGGGGGAGCGATGAGGACTAGCTGCAATGGATGCCGAGTGCTGAGGAAAGCTTGCGGCGGCGACGACTGCCCCATCAGGCCTTGCCTCCGCTGGATCAACACCTCCCCCTCCCAATCCAACGCCACCCTCTTCCTCGCCAAGTTCTACGGCCGCGCCGGCCTCCTCCATCTCCTCCTCTCCGGCCCCGCCCACCTCCGCCCCTGTACCTCTCTATTCTCCCTACCCTAATACATGCGTTCTTTAAATATAAGCGACGGGTCGAAAGTAGTGCTGATATATCTATTACTGAATATTCAAGAAGAAACCCGGGTTGGAAGTGTGGATGAAATTTGCACTCGAATTTTCGACTCGCACTTTATCTGGTTTGAGCGAGATGATTAGATGTTGAGTGATATATAGGATCGTCACTAGAATTTGTGTGTAAGTTGGTCCACTCTATCTATATAGCCACGCAACTGATTTCTTTGTTTGAAATTTTGGTTGCTCGTGAATGATTTAACACGCTCTTCTGATCATGACCTTTACGCAGCGATCTTCAAGTCTCTGCTATACGAAGCGTGCGGGCGGATCGTCAACCCCATCTACGGCTCCGCCGGCTTGCTCTGGTCCGGCAGCTGGCACCTCTGCCAGGCCGCCGTCGACGCCGTCCTCGCCGGCGCCCCCATCCAGCGAGTCTCTTCCGAGTCCGCCGCCGGCTGCTCCGCCCCGCCGCTCGAAGCCAGCGACATCCGCCACGTGCCCAGGACGAAGCCCTCGGCGGTTGATTCCGATCGGCTCCGCAACGTCAGGTCTCGGCGCCGGTTCAAGCGGCCGGCTTCGAAGACGAGGCGCGAGGAAGCAGCGGGAGCTCGCCGAGAGCGAGACGAGGGGGACGAGCCAGCGAGCTGCGACTCGAGAGGGAGTCAGGGGTCGGCTGCTGACAAAGAGCCGGTGGAGGCGGAGACTGGGGAGCGAGCCGCAGATGGCGGCGACTCCGAGCTGGAGCTGAGGTTGGGGATGGAGCCGAGAGCTGGGAGGGCTTCCGAGGAACGACGAGAGATCGCAGACGCGTGCGACGGCGACACGCGCGTGCTGAGCTCTGGTCAAGACGTTCGTCGTCGGCGACTTTAAACCGGATCCCACCTGCTGCTTGCGGGTTGGATCGTGGGTATACAGTTGCAGTTTTGACGCGCGTAAAAATGACGAGTGGTTTTGTCATATTATTGTGTTTCTCTTTTTCTTTTTTTTTTGGTCCTTTGTACAAAGTACAAATGAGCTTTTATTAATATTGTTTTAATGATTTTTGTGATATGACGAGGTTGATGTCACTACACAATGGGCTTCTTTAATAACGTAGACCCTTTTGTCTTCTAAATCATGCAACTGTGTATAGATGAAAGAGAATCACGCTGTCATCGCTATCAGATTTTGTAATGGTATGAAAAGTAAGAATCACACGTATCCACGAAAATTGTACGAATAATTTGATCGTATTCACATTTGAAATTGAAAACTCAAGAATTTGTGTTCCAAGGGGAAATCCAAAAAGGGCTCGAAAATTAAATTTGATGCGTCCCTATGAACGTTGCTATAAGAGTTTCGCATTCATTGTGTGATCTTCGATTTGGGCCACTGATTCATGCCACTCGCAACTCAAAAGTCCAAGGTTGGCAAATTTATCACCGCTGCGCACCATCAAAAAGTCTCTTCACACAAGTTATGCTACAACTGGATAACGCAACACGAGTCGTTCAGAGATTCGCTTCCGATATGGATGGTTCTTGTGATTTCGTGAAATACATGTGACTCTTATGATGCTAGGGGAAAATTCATGGAATGTACAACTTCTAAAGGCCAGTTTCGAGAATCATGTTCTCGCTGAAATTCTCTCGATCCGAGTGAGGACTCAAATAGCAAAAGATCACTTAGTTTGGATGGGTACTCAATCAGGCAGATATTCAGTCAAAATGGGTTATTACCAAGCATCATCGTTATATCAAAATCCTCTCAATCTATGAAGGGAGATTTGAAACATGCTAACAACATGTGCACTGTGCAATGAAGGCAAACCCGAGACAACGATGCATTTATTCCTGTTATTTCCATGGACAAAGAACCTTTGGTTACCCCCTGAGGTCAATTTCCCTATTTTGACACAGGGCTTGTCAAGAATCCAAGCACGGATTGAAGAATTAAAAATCAACTCAGCTTACTCACCATATCTGGAAGTGGTCGCATTGAAACTCCAATTCATGTGGAAAGCTCGCAACCACTTTGTTTTCAGAAACAGACCTCTAGATCCTGCAAGTGTCATTGATTCAGCACTCGCCAGCTTGAAGAATTGCAAAAAATGGGGCTTGAACACAACATATTCAACGCAAATCGCAGCTAAATCACTTCGGATCCGGAGTCCCCCTCAAATTGAAGCCTTGAAAATTAACATCGATAGATCACACGAACTTGGATCGACAGAGGGAATCATTGCATGTGTCTGCCGTGATTTGCAGGAGTCGTTCGGGCTTCATTGGCAGTTCGAGGAGAATCTCAACCTCTCTTGCAAACCCTTGTCTATCTTCTGCTGAGAAAGACCGAAGCTCTTTTCAATGAGTCAGACAATCTACAGTTTGTCAAAGCAATCCAAAGCTCAGATCAGTCTCCTTGAGAAGTTCATGTACTTATCACTGAATGTTGCGATCTATGGGTACATTTTTCAAATATCCGAGTCCAACACTATTTTAGATAGACCAATTCCATTGCGGACTAAATTGCCTAAGCCTACATGAGAAATTTACTACCACAAAATTGGGTAGCTTCACCCCACCAAGTTCTTTGGGATCTTTCATGTACCGAAACTCATTTACTGGACCTCTTAGGTTAGACAGGTCGAATCAAATGAACATTATTTCGAACAAAAAAAAAACACCATTTTTTACTGCTATCGACCCCAAAGCCCGGCGTGCACATCCCGAAGATACTCCATAAATTTATGTTTATTGATTTGGCGGGTTCAAGTAACCCGACCCGAGCTGGCCTGATGATCACAATTACCAACCCGTCCTTTTCTCTCTTTTCGGGGTTAAGGAGAAAGCCCAAAGATAGAAAGGAAGGGCCCAGCCCATATTCACGAACCACTGCAAATCGCACGGCCCATCACAGGCCCAAAAGAGATCCCAACACTCGGAACGCTTTTCGGGCGATCGAGTCCCATTCCCCCGCACACAGCGCACGGCGAGAAACGCAAGAGAACAGAGCAGAGGGTGCTGAGCAGAGATCGGCGATGGGGAGGAAGAAGGGGACCGTGGAGTTCGACGAGTCGCCGCCGGACGACTTCGACGCGGCGAACCCGTACAAGGACCCGGTGGCGATGCTGGAGATGAGGGAGCACATCGTGAGGGAGAAGTGGATCGACATCGAGAAGGCCAAGATCCTCCGCGACCGCGTCAAGTGGTGCTACCGCGTCGAGGGCATCAACCACCTCCAGAAGTGCCGCCACCTCGTCCGCCAGTACCTCGAGTCCACCCGCGGCATCGGCTGGGGCAAGGACGGCCGCCACCCTTCCCTCCACGGTCCCCTCCCTAAACCCTCCCCCTCTTCTCCTTCTGTCTCTCTGGCTACGTTTCTGTGCCCTAGGAATCGTGTGGTTTTGGATTGAGCGGTTGTGGTTGGGTTGGATTGGTCGAGGAGCTTTCTAGTGTGAGCTGTAATCGATCCGGCTTCAATGTTTGCATCGTGCATAGATTGGACGCTCTCTTTCCCTGACTCGCTGACACTCTCTTTTGATGCTTTCTGAATCAGGCCCCAAGGTCGAGCCCGTCGAGTCCGACTGACGCGCAACCGGGACTAATGGAGGTACATTGGTGTCATCTCGTCGCACTTTTACCATTTTGGCTGCAGTTGATGGTGTTTTGTTTTCCAATTGTGTGTTTCTTTTCCCTCCTATTGATGTGGTGGTGTTGGAATACCAGCTTAAGGTGTATGAATGGTGTTGAATTGAACTGAAAGAGGGAAAAGCTTTGCTTGATGTTTGTGTCATTATTATAGGGTGGTTGTATGGATTTGGTGCACTCCAGGAGGGCTTAGCTATCGATTCTGATTTTTTCCATTTTTAATATATCACGACATGCAAGAGGATCACTAATGGTGATGGTGCTGTTGTTTGGACAACCTGGTTGCTTATTCGGTTGCTAACGGTTCTTTGGACGACTTAAGGAACTATGTCATTGTGCTTCTTATCTATTCGAGTCTGTATTTCAGAAAACAGTTACCTTTCCCTCTTCAAGACAGCATTCACTAAAATGTGGCCATGTCTTACCTCATTGACTCATGTCAGTTACTTGACATCACTCATTTGTTACGTCGCTGAGTGTCCTGTATCTTAGCCATCTTATGGAGTCGATATGGGTCTGATCGTATAAGAAAATGAACGGCCTTTTTATGGTCTACATGTTTAGTTTATTGATCCTAGATCTGATGTAGCAATAAACTTTGTTGGTTCTTTGTCTAGCACTAGACTGCAAACTTGTGGCATCTTGCAATTTACCTGGAAGTCAGAATTTCGTAATGCGTAGAAAGTCTTCTTTTTTTTATCGTCTCTCTCATACTTGCTTTCATTCTATATGGAGTGGAGATGGCTTCTCACATTTCCAGCGAGTATCATCCTTTTCTCATCTTTTTAAATGTATTCTATGAAAATTTAGTTTGCTTTCTTTTCATTGTTGTGGGTGTTAAGGTAGAAAAAACATGCCTGTCTGGCCTTGACAATGCCTAGCAATTGTCAATTTCTTTGGTTGACTCAAGAATCTCCTTTGAAACATTAAATTAACATGTTTGGTGGTGTCTAGCAAGCTAGCTCGGTGATATGACTATGTTACTGGAAGGCCATGACCTTGGAGTTTGGGCATTTCTATTAATTTGGGAAACTTGATGGAAGTGCATGTGGATATTGCATTTTAAACACATGTTTCTTTGTTGAGCTCGAGTGGATACATTCTCCCTCCTTTGTTTCCTGGCTTTCTTCCTAGTTCCCTGCTGTTATATCCATCTCTATTTGAAGCTGAAGTATCATTCCTCAGTGAGACCCTTGGCTTTAGTTCCTTGTAAGTACAGAGACAAGAAATTGAACTCTCATGCTGTCTGGTGGCATAATATAACTGCTGGAGTAGGCAATTTGGGTATGCAAGGGGATTTTATCTCCCACACTTTCACGTTATTTAAAAGTAATGCTAGGTGCCCTTTAGTGCCTGGTTGCCTAACAAATGTAGTTGATTCGAGTTAACCAATCTTTTGTTTACACCAATGCTTTGCTTTGCCTGTTTGCCATCTGGGTCATATAAGTGGATCTTTTGTGCACTCTGATCAATTCACTGTTTGTCACGGTGTTGCATTAATTTTAGTTTGCTCCAAGATGCATGGTATGGGCTGTCTCTGTGTATTGTGTTTTTATATTTATCAAGAAAACCATGGGATGATGAGATGAACAAACCTAAAATTTTTCCTGCAGGTCTGAAGCTGGAGCAGGCTTTCTGCATGAGAAGTGGGTGCTCACTTTCTTGCAGTGTGATTGTATTCTTCTTTCAGTTTGGTCCTTTTCATTTTATTTGCAGAGGCCATATGATGTTGGATTTGGCTTTACTTAGTTCTGTTTGTTACCGCCATTCAAAATGCCAAGTGTTAACAGAGCCTTCATAAATGGAAGAACATGGGACAATGAATAAGTTTGTTGCCTCTCACTTGCTGATGTTCCTGCTTCTTAAACATTTGTAGATATGTAGAGAAGGATGATTATGAGTGATCAAATCTTGCTCTTTTCTTTCTTATTGAAGAATAAAGTCTCTTATTTCCTTTTTCTCTACTTTTGCCTATAGAGCACAACATGACGGTCATGTTGCCTAGATGAATTTTGCAAGATGATACCAGATTTTACTCTTGGGAATCCTTCCATTAGGTCGAATTCACTAAATTCTGCTTATAATGGGTAATTAAGTATCCTTGCTTGTTGATGGGGGAAATTTATGGTGACTCGGAAATAGGTTAGGACTCCTATAAGTTGATCTTCAATGCATTGAAATTTTCTTTGGATGACGGTGGTGATGTTATTACGGGAACTGTCAAATTGCTGGATGTTGAAATTGTAAAGATGGCGGACAATTTCTCATTTAGATGGTTGAAACTTTCTCAGCTTGATGACAGTTGATTACAGATATAGAAAGAGGTGGACGGCAAGGATGCCTTCTGGGAAGCATTGACCTTAGATCTAGCGGATCCCATCTTTGGTCCACCTGAGCTAAAGGTTCTCGCTTACCGGCTCTTTGTCATTTCTTTTGAGTGCTTAAGATCTTTGCAGGCATCTTTAATCTGAAAACTTACATGTTCATGTTTGATGGGTGACGATTCACTACACCTCCCCAATGCAGTAGTAAATGCAGTAGAGAGTGGAAAAAAAAAGCTGCCGAAGCTGCACTGAGTTGTTTTAAGCTGGATTTAACTTCTAAGTGCATGTGATGGTGGATTCAATCCGCCTATACAGAAATGTAGTCCTTTTCCCGTTTGGTATTGTCTGGGATAGCAAGGTTTGTACAGAATAAATATATCTCAATACCAAAAGTTGCCATGACACCCGAATGGATCCATCTGTTATACTTGATAAGATCTAACACTTCGTTGTGATACCCTACATAAACATGCTCCTTATATAATTGAGCGAAAGAAACACTTGCCTTTGTATTTTGGAGCCACTGAAAGTCTAAGTTCCGAACATGGAAGAAAGCTAATGTCAGATGCACGGGTATCAGAAAAAGGAAAAAAAAAAATTGGTTGCGTATTCATCCCCTCAAAAGTACTATGCATGCCCTCTGTATCGTCCTTTCTGCTCTAGCTTACAAGTATTAATCTGATCGATGGCATTTGTGAAAGTCTCTTTGGCTTCTGGACTTCTTTGAGATTCATCCATTCGCGGTTAAGCTCATCCATGGTTGAGAGCTTGACTCTCTCACGGCCGAATAGTCCTCTAGACTTCCCTGTCAAACAACCAATTGAACTTTGAAAGAGATGCATTGGGACAATAGATATAGGAAAAAGGAGCAAACCAGACCGGCTAGACAAAAGAACTTGGGTACTGCTCACAAAGCGAACAACTAGGAGCTCCCTTCACTCCAATGAAAGGGTGAAGAACGCGGAAGGAGTTGCTCTCACATCATGCACCTGGCCACGCTTATTCATTAAGGCACTTCGGGCCTGGTTGGAGCAATCCGCTGTGCTTCCCGGACTGGATAGTTTGGTAGCCAATGTGTAAGCATAGCCTTGGTGCATGAGATGACAGCTCTGTCCACTTCTCAACCCTTATATTGGACCGAGGGGAGCTTCTCGTTTAATCTGCCTAGCCACACCACATTCAAAGCAAGATGTAGCAAGTGACGATGTTCTTGTCCCTCCTCTTCCCTTGCGCCCTTATATATAGGCTGTCTATTTGGGGAGGTTAATATTATGATGTACCAGGACAAGTACCCTTGAGTCGACCAGGTTTCATGGGTTTGTCCTCATTCTCGGTTCGCACCTTTTCTCTTGTCCGTGACACCGTTGGCCTCATTCACAGTTCGCACCTTTCATCAGTGCATAATGCAGTCTCCTTTGAATCGTAGGCACACAGATTAGATATCGTCTTTTTAGTCATAGGAACTTATGGCAAATGACTTTGTTTCATCTCTTCATTTCACAATGTGTTCACTTCGATTCCAGGACCAATACTTTCATGAGTAGGTTGGCAATCGATATATCCTAGAAGGTTTGTGCAATGATTCCATCCTTGTGTTCTATCACCAGTTGATTCACAATTCTTGTGATACTCCATTCTTCGCATGTATGTGGAGTATTGATATGCTGTATTACTTCGAATAGCTTGTCAAAATCAATAGACCAGATCTTTCATTTGATCTTTCACTTGTTTATCCACCATTCAAGTCTTCCTTTTTCTTAGCCTATTGTTTCGTTTTACCCAATCTCATTGGTCCTAACATAACCAGGAAAAAAACAGCAGATTATGGGACAGGAAGCAAACTTCCGTTGTGATTGTATTCAAGTGTAGTTTGAGTCCACACCAATGGAAAAGATTCAGCCGCACTATGATTCTCACCCTGACAAAGTCTTGTTAATTGAACACCAAACACAGAGAGAGAAACAAAATCAATCTAGTCCAGGTTCTTCTTTCTGTCCATGAACTGTCAAAAGCGAATGGACAAGCCAGCAGTCAAAAGTTCCAGACATTTGATTGCTTCCAACCACACAGTCCATGATCAACAGGACATTCTAGCCTGAATCCGAATCTACGAACCGGATGCAATCCCAACCGTTGAATTTTGTGAGATCACAAGAGACTCGCATAGATTACTCATGATTAATGATTGTGATAAACTCGATACCTTGCCGACTGAGTCTCAGCAAGCATTTGCTGTGGTCATGTCATCAAACTGCATTCTGTTGTCTCCATTAGTCCTTGCCAAAGCCTTACGGAACCCATGAACGAGGCATTTTCTTAAGGCTGCACGAATCTGCTATTTGTTTGGAGCTTGTGTGAAATAGGAGTCTTGTCTCGAGAAGGGTGTCAGGGTACAAGACACTGATGCTGATGACCTTTAGGTGACATTCCAATCCAATTGCATGTCGATTTAAATGGGTGTACTTTCTGTTTGTCCTGCTCATTTCGATAGCAGATTCTGATTCTCCCCTCGAGAAAAGACTCATGTTTTCTCATGGTTTTGACCGCCTCTACCTCCCCGAGATTTTGTCGATTTAAGCAACAGTGTTTGCGCCTGAGCAAATTTAAAAAAACATGTCATGCTTGCAACAGCGCTAAGAGCAACGGCAGATCAGAAACATAACCACGTAGTGTCCTATGCTAGCTTTTGCGCCTCAAACTAAATCCGCTTTCACGGTTCAATCAAAAGCAAGACATCCATGCTGGGTGAGGGGATTCACGGGGAGTCGCTTCCTCACGGGAAAACTCCAAGTGATTGCGCCAAGTAGGATTCGAATTACTTCATCTAGCGATGTACGCATTTGGACAAGTAACTCTGTAATCTAGCTCGCACACGCGTTATTGATGTCAACGGAGCTTGCTGTTTGAGATGTTCATGTTGCAACTTAGGCCAGATGCAAGAAACAAAGTTGGGGGCATACCGTATAAGCTCATAAAAGAACAGACACAAGAGGCTAAATTTGCTCCTAGATTGCTGGGATGCCGAAAGATAGGTGTATGAACCAATGACTTAGATTGAGGTCTTATCAAGTCTCTTTCTATAGTCTAATTTCTACTAGAGTTCATGTAGTCCCCCAAAAATGTCGTCAAGCTTGGATGACGGCGTCATCGACACGAAAGAGATTCCATGGTAATTTGTAATTCGAGGGGAAATTATAAAAAAATCATCCTCATCTTTTCCTTTAATTACCATCTGCACACTTTAATTTTGAAAAATTATGCTATAAAAATGTTTAGATATAAATTATTATCGATAATGAAAATATTTTTCGTATGTCGATAATAAAAACATTTTCTATCGACTAACTTTTTCAAACGATATAAGTGGTTATTTTTAAAAAAATATTTTCCAATTTAATCATTTTTCACGAAACAAACCCACCATAAATCTCAAGTTTATAGCATAAGCCTTTGGAATTATTGGCTGCAAAGTTGGATAAGAAACTTGAAGATTATTTCTTAAGCTATTAACTACAAATTTAATCTGAAAAAAAAAAGAACTACAATTGGGCCGTTCAACTGGCCCATAAAAAGTGGCCCTTTTGGACCGGGCTACTAGTTAGGCCCAATCGAGCCGGGTCAGGCCGGATCGAATAAATCCTCCGTTCTTCGCTCCGGCTGGGAAACGCTCGCGCCAAGAAACGCCTCCCGCCGCCGGCGAACTCCCACGGCCATGGCGAAACGGCGCCGCCGCCGCGAAACTCCTTGTTCCGACGGTTCCGACTCTCTCGCCACTCGCTTGAACCAGCACAACCGTCGTCCAGATTCATGCGAAGAAGCGGAGTCTCAGAGCGGGCGCCGCCGTAAAGCGAAGAAGGTAAAGACGTTCTCGGCCTCCGAAACCCTACTCGTTCAATCCGAGACGACCGGAGCTTCTTCCGCTTCGAGCCGGTACGCTTCGCTCGCGTGCTCGATCGAGCTGCGTCGCGAGGCGAAGCCGAGGAGGAGGGAACCGAGTAGGCGAGGGCGAGAGGATCGTCGTGAATGGGCCTACGCTTCGCGCGATCTTTCTGGATGTGGAGGTGCGTGTTTTCGACTCGGTTCTTGCCAGGTTGTGCGATGATGAGAGAGGACAGTGTTCGTTTTTATCGCGGTTTGTGTCTTTGGCGTCGAACATGTCTTCACCAGAAGACACCGCTTCGTATTTCGATGCATGAAGTTTCTGCGCATCGAGTTTGTTGAATCTAAAGTTAGCAGATTGGGGCTTCTGGAGTCTTCGGCGTTGCGTTTCCATTGCGCGTGCTTACGACTTCGCACGACTTCTTTTCTACTTCTCTTCGACAATGTGGACTGCGTGTGCATTTGTCCTGACTTCATCGTCATTTTCATCTTGTGGATAGACAAGGTTGTGTTTGTCTCCTACAACATATTGGGTGTCGAGAACGCGGCGAAGCATCAAGACTTGTACGCTGAAGTTCAGCCGAGGTTCTTGAAGTGGAGGCGCCGGAAGAAGCTCATACGCGAGGAGCTTAAGCTTTATGATGCCGATATCGTTTGCTTTCAGGCAAGTTCTCTCTTGGCATCTTATCGGGGTTCTGTGTCGAAATTACATGATCTTGTGACTTGTGAGGCACTTGTCGCCGAAGCTAGATAAAGGAGGTTTGCGTTTGACCAAGTCAAACATAGTATCTTAATTCTATTTGAATGAAGAAAGATGTGAAATCGATGTATTTGTTGTGTAATTTTGGAGCTTGATTTTGAAGCATGAAGCACATTGACAATGTTTTTCTTTGAGTTGCCTGTCTACACGATGTTTCTTTTTTCCTGTTTAGCTGGGTTCTGTTTTTTGTAATCATTGACTTATGGTATTTTTTGACACTAATTGGAGCTGTTCCAGGACAGCCCGTGATTTTCAAAAACTGGAGCCGTTTGGTTGACTGTTATTCTCTTGCTGATATTACATTAATGTTGCTCATCTGCCCTTAACGATGTTTAACCTTATTTATTTGTATTTTAAGACTTGTTTGATGATCTTTTCTTTCTAAAGCTCAGTACGAATTCATGTCTTTTGTAAAGATTTACTGAAGAAAGATGGTCTGTAAGATAGTAAAGTTCGCCCTTTTGTGGTATTGATCATTCTTGTGCTTCCTCTAATCATGAGCCCACATCGCATAAATTCACTTTTGTCTGGTAAAGCTATTGAGGCAACAATCTTTTCATTTAGTTGCATTTAGAGTGATGCTTGTGATCTTCTCTCCCATATGACTGCAGGAGGTGGACCGCTTTGACGATTTAGCTGATCTTCTTAAGAAGGATGGCTTTGGAGGTGTGTACAAGGTATGTTGAGTAACTGCTTCTATTGAATTTGTAGACATAAGGTTAAATTGACTTGTATTCCTCTTTCACTCCAGGCTCGAACAGGTGAAGCAAATGATGGATGTGCCATATTCTGGAAAGATGATCGGTAAGTTGCATTTCTTTCTGGTTTGTAGTTTACTTATCTAAGTACTTGTGTCGTGTCTAGCTTCTGGCTGTTTGTCATTTTCTAGGAACCTTCTGGGAGAAACTCACATGATACATGGGTAGTACTCAGATTAGGCGGTAACCTAAATCTGGGTGTGGTTTTCTTGTTCCCATAATATTATTTATCGCTTGAAGCTATTACTTTAAAGCTACTTTGCATCTGTGACATGTTGAAATTTTGTTTATTATAGTATACGTTTATATCATATTCCAACTATTAGCTAGTCATGTTCTTAACACAGATTAACCCTTGTCCACCAAGATAATATAGAGTTCAAGACTTTTGGACTTCGTGACAATGTTGCTCAACTTTGTGTTTTAAAGGTATGCGCTAGATTGATCTTTTGCAGTATGGACTCCCATTGTTTAAGTATATTATTTTCGTTATGTTTTTTTCTCTGTATTTGGTGAGTACCTTTGTTTTAAGTTAGTAAAAGACCTTGAAGTAAGTGAGAGAGACATGAAACTGTTTGTTCCTTTTCCTGTACATCCTGTAACGATGTACTCTTCTCCAGATGGTTTTACTGGACAGTATATGGATGTTTTACTGATGAATTTTCCTCAGATGAGCTTCAATTTTGATATTCAACGCATGTGCAGTTGTCCTGGGACTTTTTGTGTAGTCTATTGTATTTTGATTTCGTTGGCGGAGTTCCCCAGTTTCAAGCTGCACGCATTCCTATGCTTCTTGGTACTAATTGCTATTTATCTTCCTTTTTGGCGTAGATGAAGCAAAGAGTTGTATCCAACTCACCTGCACAGTCATCCGAGTAAGTTGTAGTGCATTGTCTTTATTTATGTTGATAGGTTGTTATTCATCTTTTTGCAGCACACGACAAGCTAAGTTTCTTACAACAGTCGAGCTCTTACTCTATTCTCCTTTGTGTTATGAGAATAGAGTAGAGTACTTTCAATGTGTTAACCCTTTGAAGTCAGAGAACGTGTAAAAGGACATATTTTATGTGCCATAACATGTGCTTTGATGTATTTTTAGTGCTCGAATGACATTTAGTGTTGCAATAGTTCTTGTAACATTTGCAGAAAATCCTTAACAGATGTCTCTGTTAATCTTTATTTATATATTTTTCCTAATTAGGGTGACTTCTCATATTGATTCACTGCCAAGGTGTGTTGGCTCTGTGCGAAAGCCTATTTTAAGTAACTTTGGGTTGTCATTGGAGAGCATACGGTTGAATTTTACATCCTTTGAAGAAGTATACCTGCTTAAATTGTGTCACGTGAATGATTAAACTGGATCTAATCAGTTTGTGTTTTCTCTCAGAGATGATCATAAAATTTATTAGTTATACCATGCTTTTGAAAACGCATAAAGCACCTAATTTTAGCCTAGATTAACTTTCTACATAATGCGTCACACAATTCATATTTTCACATGTCTAATGATTCTAGCATTTTGTTTACATGTCTAATGTAGGAGTCCGAACGACCAAAATCAGCTTTTGCTTGTCGCCAACATCCATGTGCTGTTTAACCCAAACCGAGGAGATGTCAAGCTAGGTCAGGTATCAGCTGCTCTGATGTTTCTCGTGCAGGGTTATGCTTTTTTCCTGTACTGCATTTAACTCTTCAGCACATGATTCCCATTTGCACAAGGTGATCCTGCTTCCTCCATGGGTAAATGTGCATGTTGACACGAGAGAGAGAGAGAGAGAGAGAGAGAGAGAGAGAGAGAGAGAAACCGAGGAGATGTCAAGCTAGGTCAGGTATCAGCTGCTCTGATGTTTCCTGTGCAGGGTTATACTTTCTCCTGTACTGCATTTAACTCTTCAGCATATGATTCCCATTTGCACAAGGTGATCTTTCCTCCATGGGTAAATGTGCATGTTGACGCGAGCGAGCGAGCAAGAGAGAGAGAGATCGTTGTGGACTCCATAGAATGATGCTGGTTATATAGATTTGTGTTTCTGATATCCTTGAAGTAATTTTTTCTGAAGGTTGTGTATCCTATGGATCTTAGTGTGCTAATATGAAGAGTAACATTGGTTGTGCAGATTCGACTGCTTCTTGAAAAGGCTCATCAGCTATCCGAAATCTGGGGCAAGATTCCTGTTATAATTGGTGGGGACCTGAACAGCATGCCCCAGGTGAAAAGCCGCAATCTAGGGAAATATTTGGTTCTGTTGAGTGATCATATGTCTGGTCAGAGTTTCTAGTACTTAATTATAACTTTTTCTTCCATTTCATTCTCAGAGTGCCATTTATCAGTTTCTTGCTTCATCAGAGGTAAGTTTAGTTTCTTGTTTACCACTGTGTTTGAACTATGCTAGTTAGTTGCATGTCTAATGGCCTTAGATGTAACTTTTTTGACTAAATCCTAATTTGATTGTCTTCATCCTCTATGAGGAACCGAATGGATATTCTCTCCTTTGGAATTTACTGCAGTTGGATATCCAACTACATGATCGCAGAAAAATCTCCGGACAAATTGGCTGTCTATCGGCAAATAGTTCTGTCAAACATCAAAACAGGAATTCATCGAGGTATCTTTAAGATTTTCCTTTACATTCCTGCTGAAACTTATTATGAGATTAATTTTTATCAACTTAGAAGAATGAATGATTGGGTTTACTCAAAATTAAAGCCAAATGAAGGGGGCTCTAATCAATATTCCGTGGAGAAAATTATCATGATAATCTCGCATTTAAAATGATAAAACAAGGTTTGCGTATTATGATCGAGACTTATATATCATCTGAATCGTTTTATCTTAAATGTAAATGCAGCATCAAATGGATGCCTGCATCGAGGCAATGTGTAAATAGGTGGAATGATGACGAGTTAAGACTTGCCACAGGCAGCGAAAAAGTTACTCATCTTCAGCACCACCTAGATCTCTGTAGTGCTTATTTTGGTATTCCAGTAAGATGTTTAGCCATCCTCTTGATATTCTGTTCCAATTTTACTTTATAATTCGAAGTTTGTAGTCTGCTGTGATTTACTATCTAAACATGCAATTGATTGTTAACATCGCCTTTCGATTTTATCCTCCAGATTAAGAACTTAATTGCTCTATTTCTTTTGTAACTTTTCAGGGAAGTTGCAGAACCAGGGACAACTGTGGGGAGCCCTTGGCAACTTCTTACCACTCCAGGTTCATGGGAACTGTCGATTATATATGGTAACTTTTTTGTGACATTGGGTTATTTATTTTGATTTATCTTGCTTGATATTCAACAAAATCATTGTGTTTCGCAGGCATACGAAGGAACTTGTTCCTATTAGAGTTCTTGAAACTTTACCTATTGATGCTTTAAATCGTACAGGAGGTCTTCCAAGTAAGGTGAGATATATTTGTAACCATGGCTTCTTGGTGAAATTTTGTTTTCAGGAACAGAGTTCACTGCCAAGAATACCATTAGTTCACAACTTTCTTTGTAGGAGGGCTTTTATGTGTATCATGAAAAGAGAGTTCATTGTCTACAAGATCTATTGCATGAACTTGTTATCTATTAGTTCACAAAATCGAGAGGATTGCTAGAATTTAGTAAATGGACGAGCCCGAGTTTTGCCTAACTAGAAAGAATTTTGTCTGCGTTGCACAGTATTCATATCACACGTGTTAGTTTAGCAAAGTCTTACATAAGTTTTAGATGTATCGCCATTAACATTTTCATTTCTGCGCCTTCACAGAAATGGGGGAGCGATCATCTTGCTCTGGTATGTGAACTAGCCTTTTTGGACAGGTAACTTATGTAGATTATCAGAGATAAACTACATATTTCTTTTTTCCATCTAATCATTGTTCATTCTTTTTATGAGTAATATGTGCTCGAGTATGTCTGAACTGAGTCATCTTGATTTCTAACTGTAAAATTGAAGGTTTAAAGGTTGCCTTTCTGACATGAAATTTTTTTGTACCTTCACCATGAGTCAATGAGCATTGTGTCTTGATGCATTAAACGGAGTAAATTTCATAAGCTCATTTCTATGCATTTTTTCTGTGATCGGGTTCTCCATCTTACTTGATCTCATGAATATATGGCCTATGGGTGCCTCCTTGCAGGCTATTAGTTTATTGACTCAGTCACCATTATCACAAAAGGCGCTATTAACAAGTCAAAAACTTGGCAGTCACATTCACGTTCAAGGCATCAACCTGTCTGTTATAACTTAAACCTCCATGACCAAAACAAGTAATTTGTTATGCTACTATTTGTGCCTCAGAGCAATCACCTTCTTGGGAAATCATCAATCTCCGAATTTCTCCATGACAACTGGAATTTCGCCAGAGTATCTCCCTTGATAGTCTCAATTAGTTTTATATACAACATTCACACGCGCATGCACATACACCCCTTTAGGTTAGAGGAGTTTCTCGCTACCAAAGGCTTAACTATTGAGCTCTCTTAAGAGGAGATTTGAAGTTCTCAAAACTCTCATGTGCACATGAGATCATCTTCTTCCATAGGATTTTTAGTCGCCTTGTTTTTTCAATCCAGAGATGGTTCAGCAGAAATTGCTCAGAACCCTGTCACAAACATAGGCCAAGCTCTTTAAGATGTAGAATCAGGAGAGATGGAAGTTTGTCTGATGAGGCTGCATTGTCTGTTGTTCTGATTCTCTGAATGTGCTACATTTGTTCTCTACCTTATGGGAATTCAAATATACGGTGTGTTGCATGCAGACTTGTATGAATGGATAAAGTACCTATAGAATAATCACTTAAACAAAAAAAAATTGTACAATTAGCATGCAGACTTGTATGAATGGTCCATGAAGAAGCTTGAATATGTTGCTTATCTACAGTAGTCTTGAACTGACGACAAGGGAATAGTGGTACACCGTATGTTGGTTACTTGTATTTGGTATCAAAGGAGACGTAACAAGCGTTGACATTTTGCCCCCAAGGCGGTAGGCTCAGCAGTGACGTTTCTGTTTTTTGCCTTTGTGATTGAGCTTGACGCGGTCAGATGCTGCACCAATAAATTGAATGAGAGTGGGTGGAGATTTGCACCTGCTCGCCCTAATAAATGGGTCACGGCCTGGAATTTCCTGCTCTGCGACATTCATTCATTGCCCCACTCACTACCCTAGCGAAAAAAGGAGAGACTCGAGGGGGTCATTGAAATGTCAATGCTTCGTTTGCTTTCATTCTAGAATTCAGGGAATTTGTAGATTTTGGCAAGTTGTGCTGCTATTTTCTAAGATTAACTAGTCAAATCTAATGGCACGAGGAAAGTTGATACATTGAAAATCGTGTACTTTTCTTGTTTAACAAGTGCTCCAAGGCTTCAAGAAAAAAAAAACATCGTTCCGGGGCACTTGTTAACAATATCTTTATAAGAATCGGATGTTGAGTTTTGTGGAAGGCAGATCCGCGATAATCTGTTCTCAGCTTGAAAGGGGATCGTGATGTGTTGCCATTTTTTTTTCCCTTGGTTGGAAATGGTGTTCAGGCAGATCGAGAAAAGTGGTGTGCGAAGAATCCCAAACGATTGAATGTTGGTGGCTTTCCGGGTCTTTCCCAAGGAATCCCACCTCGTGGTGCGGAGTTGGCCGTCAATTATGATAAGAGTAGAATGATTGGCCCGAATGCGAAAAGAGGGGCAAGTGGTGAGGAATATTAGGGAGGAAGCAAAGTAGTGAAGAGCAGCTCAATCCTAGGAAAGTGACTGTTTTCGGCTTATTAAATGACCTATAGATAACTCACTAAGCGGTAAAGGGATTGAGTGGGGTGGGGATGTTTAATTTCAGGCGTGGGTTCGATTTCTATGTTTTGTAAATAGACAAAGTAAAAAGATTGTGTGAGAGAGAGAGAGAGGGAAGAGTTATAGTACGATGGATAAACAAAAAGAACCTATAGATAGATCTTAGCATAATAACACCAAAAATAGCAAAAGGGAAAAAGAAATTTAAGTGAGATAATCTTGTATTGAAATAAAAATATTTGTGCATCTCAAACGCATACAACATTTGGGTAAGATAGAAAAACTATATGGTATACGGAGTATTCAATGCATTCGGCTCAGATAATTTTGCTAGCAAAGTACATTGGTATTTCATGTCTGATTGCGAAAGTGTTTGGTTTTAGTTGTCGCGGTCGTGACATGAGTGAAGATTGAACCAAGGACTAGGAGGTTCATCAGCTTCACAAGTGCGCGGACAATTCCCACGTGGCTAATAGTGAGAGGCATGAAAAATGAGCATACTCGCCACCCTTTAGAAAGTACTTGTGCATGATTAAAAAGTGAGCCGGCGGTCATGATTTGGAGACATGAAAAGTACATCTAAACAACTACTAAAAGAAAGCTTGTGTAAAGTTCAAGCATTTGCATTGTTTCAATAATGCTTTATATCAATTCAAGCTATACAACCTCTTTTTCTCTTTAACTTCGTGCTACTAGCACCTTTGAAGCATATGGCTAGACGAGAAGGTTCGAGCTTGATTAGTCACGGGATCTACAAAACTAGGACTTTCCTCAAACTTTCGACGCAATTTCCCATCAAACCCATAAGCTTATTGCAGGCAGAAGATTTCTGATTATTTTTTTTTTATATTTTTTGTGGGCCCTCCATAGATTGCTGCTGGAAACTGCGAAAATTAATGAAAAAGAGCGGGATTCGCGCTACCAGTGGGAGTGTTCTTCGCTGAAAGCGGAATTGTGGGGCATCTTCGTGGGCTTCAATTTGGCGATTTCTTTAGGTATTACCAAACTTATTGCGGAGGGAAATGCATATGCAGATTGGTTAACAAATTGGGTTGGATAGATATGCCACTAATAGGTTTGCTTCTTTTGTTATTAGGGGATTAGATTGAATCATGTTTTAGGAGAACGACGACATAATTTTCAGATTCTACCCCTTTTCTTACCAAAAAAAAAATGAATATCCATATATACTATCAGAATAAAGTTTGACTTCTCTATAGTCCCGTCTCTGATCATTTATATTGTCAATGGAGAAGTATAATGATGTGGTTCATGATCATCATTATCCTCATACTCAGCAAAAATTAGAACCAGGAGACCTTGGACAGCTTTATGGCAGAGAAAAACCAAGTCCCCTGTTTCTAGACAGTAGACACACTCAAAATACTCACATAGATTAAACTAATTTCGCTCAGCTATATGCACTCCATATCTATTGCTTCATCAATCCAAGCAAGCTCATCGTTCCCTAAATCGAGGTCAATGTCGGGTAGATCGTACACTTTGCGGTCATCAAAGAGATCTCTCGTGAGATCCACGCCGTGGAAAAAACTCCCAAACTCGTTATCGAGCATGAAGCTGCCCTCGCATCCCAAACCAAGTTCTTGACTGGTTAATCCCGACGATGCTTGATCCACAAACGCATGAATGAGCCGGTCTTGTTCTGTGAAAACCACCTCGTCTTGTGCACTGCTAAGTGAAGAAGACTTGTGGACATCAAGCACTGATGCTGGAGATTGGTGGCGAAACAAATCGTTTCTATTGTCTTCCGGTTCGCCCTTCGAATCATAATAGATCGAGCTCTCCTTCTCCTTCTTCCTCCTCGATTCAATCTTCTGATCGATCTCGAGCTTCTTCTTCTGGTAGGCAAGAGCAGCCTCCTCTGCAGTGCCATAAGTGCCGAGCCACACTCGGACCCCCCGAGTAGGATCGCGTATTTCCGCTGCGAATTTCCCCCACGGCCTCCTCCGGACCCCTTTATAAGCAGACGACCCCCGAGCTCTCACGCTCGATTCGCTCAGAACGTCATTAACGCTAGTAGCACACTTCTGACGATTGTCGGCAAGGCACGGAGAGATCTCTTCGCACCATCCGTGTCTCACCAATGGAATCACAATCTCCTTAACGACCTGTATGCTCTTCTTCCTTGACACGATACGATCGCCACATTTCGTGTCGTCTTCATCGCTTGAGGAGTCGGTCACGTCGGGGTCGCAGTACATTACGCGGATTTTCCTCATTGGAATCAGCCTCCTGTCTTCCCTGCCTGGTTTTTTCTTCTCTACTCTCTCAGTTCTCAAGTTAGAACTAAAAAATCGCCTATCAACGCCTGGCATTCTTTTTCTTCTTCTTCTTTAGTGTGTGGGTGGACTATAAAGGAAGGAAAGATATGATCTCCAATTGAAACGTTTAGGAAAGATAGAAGGCAAAAGGGAAACAAGATCTTGTGGCGATCTTTGAGAAACTTGGGTATCAAGTAAAACCCAAAACCCTCTGACCCAATCAACCCTCCAAAATCAAAGTGAGAAACTGTTTGGTGTTATGACAAGCCTGAGCAGAACAACCCCTGCAGCAAAATTTTGAATTTGGTAATAAATAAAAAAGAAGATCCTCAAACTTCGTAAATGATCATAATGCATAAACGTTTGTATAAATCAGCCGGGAAGCTCAAACCCCACATCAAGAACTCTCTGCGTTCGTCCCGGAAAGGGACCAACAGCATGAACTTGACCGAATCCTCACAAACTGATATTACAAGGGAAGAGGTAAAAGAAAATCGAGCAGAAAAGCCACATACCCTTTTGATCTAAATCGCACAGAGAAGCTTGAATTGCTCCGTTTCTTGACCTGATCAAGAGACCAGAGACGAGTGAGCTCACATGCACAGAGCAAGAACAGAGGTAGAGCTGCTCGCGAGCTCCTGCGATCGGATCAGACCCGGACGACATATACTACATCTCTTGGTTTGTCGGTGCCAAAAGAGGAATCTGAAGCAAATCGGGCCAGACAACTGATCAACAAAAGGCATGACGATCCTATTCCTATCCGCAGCACGCGAGTTTTCGAGTCACGAACTCCAAAAGAAGCGTGGATTTCTCTGTCCCTCCTGGCGAGATTCGTTTCTACAAACGGACGTGCGCACGACGGAGCGCGATTACAAGGTAATGAGAATCAGGAAACCGAAGGGGAGATTCATCTCAACACTCTCGAATCGAGAGTTGACCCTGCTCGGTCTCTGTTTCTGTCTCCGTCTCCCCCCCTGCTCAGTCTCTGTTTCTTATAGCTCGCTCTGGTGAAGTACTATTTGCGCACGCGGGCACAAAAGAGCGCAATCAAAAGTCCATTCTTGAACTGTTATTTTATTCAAACAAGATATTTGAGTCAGCATGCAACCAAAGTGAGCTCCATCAGCCCATCTTATTTTATTTCATCATTTTGTAATTTTTTGCTTCTTTCTTCTTCTTCTTTCTTCTTCTTTTTTGTGGTCAAAGGCTCGAAAACTCAGAAGCTCCATCAGTCCATTGATTCATGACCCGATATTATAATGTCCTTTTAGCTCGAACCGGGCAGGCCCGAGAAATTGACTCCCTTTGACCCTGTCCAATTATCTTCATTTTGATGGAGCTTAGCATATTGATTAGAAGAGTCTAAGCCTTATGGTTGGACCTACCCCGTCCGAAAAAGTATTTAGTGTAGTAATTACACCTCGTGTCAATTTCGGCACTATGTGACCGACCAACAAATCTCGAGAGCTTCTGGATTCAAATGTAAAATTTTGTTGGCGTGCGATTGGTCGACTACGACAAAGTCTTCAAAGAAGGCAATGAACGATCTTCTATCATCGGTTTACTCCAGAGAGAAAGATGGTGTCTGTGAGATCCAAATTGCCAAAAAGAAAATCGTATGATTTGACCCTCGTTTATCTTTATCGGCGAGAGTCCGTTTGCTTCAATGCGTTTTTTAGATGTAGATTCGTGGAAAAATAGTTCATGAGATTATGTTATCCATTATTCAAGATGAATGATGAGAGTATTGGTTGATGAGGATTGGGGTCGATTTTTAAGGACTCGGATCCAATTATCAACAGCTGGGTCTAGTCGATAGGCTTCCCAATGATCAGAGTGGCTGAGTGGTAAATTTAAGGATCAAGATCAATTGTGTGAACGAGCAGAAAGAGAGAGAGAGAGAGCGATGAAGAGTATACCAACTCAACATATGAAAATAGATCGCTTACAAGCAAGTATATATGAGGAAAATTTTGGATGTCAGCAATTGAGAGAGAGAGAGAGAGAGTAGGGGTGGAAAATCTTGGATATATTAAATTGCTGTTGTGAAGGAAATGGAGGGGAACTTTTATTTTGGGTCAAAGGCTCATTGGGCCTTGTTGGGATTTTTCCTGATGGGGCTAAATGAATAGAGGCCCAAATGGGGCAATCTCGTCATATCAAAGCCCATTGGGCCCTGCACCGGAAGATCATGATGGACCAAAATAGAAAACCAAGCTCTTTTCATATTGCCTAGAAATGATAGGCTCGAGTAGGCCAGGCGAGCCCGTGAACAGATTGGATCTTTTTTTCTTATAATTTCGGGTTAAGTACGATTTTTAGTTAACCCGCACCACTCCTAGACACATCGAAAGAATTCTCGAGAAATTACTTTTTCGTGTCCTAAACTTCGAGAGTTCATACCTACTAAGAAAATGCAAAAAATTCCGGTTACCTCGTTAACCCGACTAGCGGTTTTAAGAGATCTCAACCATCTCGGTTTTTTGTCCACGAACAAATCGTTTTGTGCTTTACCTGAAGGAATTTAATATCTTCTAATTTCACTGAGCTAAGATCGGTCATTGTCGAAAGTGAAATTGAACTTATATTTTTTTTTATAGGGGAAATTGAAAAAAACAAAAATAAGGGAGAAAAGCAATCTCCGAATTGTCTGGCCTCTAATCTCACGGTCAAGCCCAAGACACAAGTTGGGCTTAAGATTAAGAAATATACACGTTTATTCTCAACTTGGGTCTTGTTATGTTCCTCGAGTAACTTTCCATCATCTCCAAACTAAAAAAGATCTCCATCAAGATAAAGCTGGAAAAAGTATATTCCTAAAAAATATTCGACTTACGTCGATAGCACTCTAATAAAAAGAAATATGGACGGGACACTAGTGAATACCAAAACCCTAACCTTTTACTAATATTGATTACATTGAATTCTCTGAAAGAGCAACCCACGAAGATCAAGAAACCCAATAAGCTATACCATTCTTACCGATCGGCTTATTCATATGTTACTGCGACATGATTTCTATCGGACATAGTTAAAATTGGAGCGAAGAGAATGTTCGATCCTATACCGACCACAGGAGCACTTAACTTTCGAGAAAAAAAATGTTATTTTATTTTTAGATCAACGACTTGATAGAAGGGAAAGAGGTTAAATAAGCGCGATTCATGATGTTTGACGTGTGTTCATTTTTTTTTATCAACGATGAATTGCCCTCTCTATAATTGGCCACAACGCATCGAACAATTGAATTAAAAACCCAAAAACCACATAAATGAATCCAATATTAAGGAATTGTTTGGTAACCGGCCAAATAGTATTTGTTTCTATTTTTTTGTTCTCGAGAACAAAAAAAAACAAAAATCCTTTTGGTAAATTTTTTGTTCCCGGGCATAAATTTGTTACCAGAATCAGTTTTAAAACAAAATTAAGAATAAATAAAAAAAGTTGATTCTTAATTCTAGGAACAAGAATCAGAAATGAAAAAAAAAAAATTTTTTCTTCTCCTTCTTCGTGGTCGGTCTTCTTCATTTTTCTCAGGCCAGGGTCGGGCGAGGGTGAGGGCTGGACCCTCATGGCCTAGGCAAGGGCCGCCCTCGCCTGTGGCCGGTCACCGGCGCCGGCGACCTGGCCATGGGCCAAGAAAGGAGAAGAAGAAAAAAAAGAATGAAATATTAAAAATTCAAAATATTTTTAACAAAAAGGAATTTTGTATAGTTACCAAACACGTTTTTGTTCTTTTTCTATTTTAGGAATAAAAATTTTGGGCAGTTACCAAACGCCTTCAAATGCTTAGAAATTATTTTCGGGAATAGAATAAAAAAATTATTTTCGAGATAAAATTATTTTCGAGAACGTAATGATTACCAAATACACCCTAAAATTTCAACCAACTGTACCTACCACGCCGAGACACCAACAGTTCCATATTTCCTCGTTGTTCCGTCGTACTCAAGACGGCGAGGATCAGAACTTAATACGGGATAGAATTTCCAGTTCGAGTCACTGGGAGATCGGTCGGAACGAGGACGGCCCGGGACGTAATTTCCGGCGCAGCCCTAGGCACGGCACCGGGGTACGAGGGGATGACGACGTCACCCTAGGATCTGCGGCAGCTCGCTGTAATGACGCGGTATAAAGGGCAGTGTCGAACAGTAATAAAAAAAGCCAAGGAAAAAAAAAGGCGCGTTGTCCCATCACCGCGCGGCCGCGAGGCTCGATCAACATGTCGCGAAAAAAAGGAAAATGACACAAAAGTCTGAATTGACTCAAGTACATTTGGTCCTGAACTTTAATTTGTTCAAGTAGCCGAACTTTTACCCATGTTATAGTCCGAACTTTCATTGGTTATGTGTCCCGAACTTTTGGTACATGTTCAATAAAGTCCGAATTTTATAAAATGTTCAATGTAGTCTTCCATTAATTCAAGTTCAGGACTATATATATTTTCAGTTACGGATTAAATAACATTTACTAAAAATTCATGGACAAGTGAACAAATAAAGTTCAGACACATTAAATATTAGAAAATTCGGGACTACATAACAAATTAAAGTTCGGATCAAATACACATTGCCAAAGTCGTGTCGTTGGCATTATTCCCTTAAAAAAAAAAAAAAAAAAAGGTGGGGAAGTGCTGTTTCGTCTTTTAAGATTTCGAATCCGTCCGTGCGTCTCGAAAATCGCATCCGTCGATCGAATCGGACCGGACCGCCGAAAACGGTGCGGACCGACACGACGTCTCAGCACGAAAAGACGGGGGCAGTACCCACTAGCTGAATGGGGTGGGTCCCGGTGTGGCCCACCGCGTGTCCCGATCAAGGGCTTATCGTTTTTTACCTGGTTAGATGGAGATGTCGTGAGTAGACTCGCGGTGGTCCCCCCGCACCGTGCTTTGCCTGATCAACGGATGGCGACGAAACTTCGGCATAAGTTCGTGATTGCCCATATATATTCTCTCTCTCTCTCTCAACATGTTTTTAATCCTATTTTTTATTTTTTTTTAGTTTTTGCTTTTTCTTTGGCAGAATTAAAGCAAAGGTTCGGCTTTATAAGGCTTCCAATTGCCGAATCTGCTATAAGCTCGTTCCTCGAAAAGCCCGACTTAGAATGCGTTTTTTTTGTTTCGAAAAAGAAGATTAATAATATGATCACTTAAATCATTTATAAAAATATTAAACATTTTTTTATATTTAGATATAAATTATTGGAAAAAAAGCCACGAAAAACTCAAAATACGCCAAACGTGACACATTTATCTTGAATTTTTTTGTAACATCGAAAAATCCAAATTATATCCACTGTGATATATTTACCCTATACTTTTTTTGTGACATAAAAAACCCTAAAATTGTACTCGAGTGACACATTTACCATTAGATGAACTTTTAGCCAAAACAACGTCGTTCCACGTGGGCACCATGTTGACATTTTTCACTTTCTGGCGTCCAAATAAGCAGATTTTTAACGATTCTTATTGACAAAAATGTGTCGCACAAGTACAAGTTTGGGATTTTTTGGTTACAAAAAAAAGTTAAGAGTAAATGGTATCACAGTTGTTAGGGTGTAAATACACCCCCGTCGATAGTAAGACACGTTGGTCCCAATCTCGGTGAGCTGGTGGGTGTCCAAGGGGCTGCCTTGGCGAGGGTTGCAGGGATAGCGCCCCTGAGCCACTAGAAGGCTTTTATAGTTTGGGTCCATATATCATTAATATTTTGGGTATTGAGTGGCCTAGGTTCTCGACTCCTGAGGTTTTCTCGCGCTTCCTATATACCGCGCTTCCTATATACAATCTCTCTTTTTTGTAATTGAGAATTGTAAGAGAGAAGTGTGAGGTGCTAACCACAGTAGAATCCTCTGTTGGATGTAATCCTAATTTAAGGGTAAACCGGAATAAAATCATGTGTTTCGATTTTTTTTTTTACCTTTATTCTCTATTTTGTTGTATGTGCGCCTAATCCTAATAACGGTGGGCATAATTTATGATCTTTGTATGGATTTTGCTCTAAATTATTACCGATAATGAAAATATATATTATCAATTAATTATTTATAATAACACAAATGATTATTTTTAAAAAAATATTTTTAAAATTGTTTATTTTTTACTAAACAAACAAAGTCGGTTAAAGTTTCGTATATGCTACCTAATTGAAATTAGGTTGACCCTATGAAGAGTCAAATTCAATGCTTCGTCTCTGCATTTGGGGCCAGACGGGCAGACACGAGTCGTCCTTCGGTCCACTCGCGAATCATCCACGAAGCCCACTCGTGTCACAGCGTGCAACAGAAACTTCCCCCCACGCGCCCCCGACTGGGTTCCGTATCACCATCCGTTCGATCAGGGACCGGAAGCCCATCCCCTCCGTCGTTTTGGCGCGTCGGGCCCCACGCCCGTCCGGGTTGTTTGCCCTTTGTTGGAGCTCCACCTACCTTCATACACGTACCTAGAGGATTTTTAAAAAACACTTTCGTCCTCCGCTTTGAAATTTTGAATTATGAAAGAATGCCTGTTTTTTTTTTTTTAAAAAGATAAACCGAGTTATGTAGGTATAAAACACATTCAGGATAAAATACTTTAAACTTAGGCTCAATTTATTTTCGCAGAAAATTAATGAGTTGAATTTTTTTTCCTAAAAACAATCGTTTGTATTGCTTATAGAAATAAATAAATAGAAAATATTTTTGTCGTACACAAATATATTTAGACATAAATTACTGCCGATTAATTGTAATACTTTTCATTAACTAATTATTTTAAACGATACAACTGATCATTTTTAGGAAAATATTTTTCAAATCATTCATTTTTCGTGAAACAAATTGATTCATAATTCATATCTTTTCTTTAGTCAATTAATGATTTGTCGAGAGTGATTTAGATGCCCGAAACATACGTATTCACATAAATAAACACAACATCCTCGTAATTTCTCATTCGATAGCACGAATCGGCAACAAAATGGAGTCAACACATGCGATTTTCTAATAAAATATTGCAATTTGAATAATCACATTACTTTCTATGTGAATTTATTTTCTATGGTACAATTGATGTAAATATATCTATAATAACATTATTTTACGATTCTATTATAGTGAGGTCCAACTTGTTAATATATTTGAAAAGAAAAAATAACACAACATAATACATCCATTTCTTATAGGGTTTATACCACAAAAAACCCAAAACGGGTACACCTGTAATAATTTTACCCCGAATTAATTTTTTGACCACAAAAAATCCAAAACTGGTACACCTGTGACAAATTTACCCCGAACTATTTTTTTGACCACAAAAAACCCCACATTGGTACACTTAAAACAATTTTACCCCGAACTAATTTTTTGATCACAAAAAACTCCAAACTGGCACACCACTAAAAACCCCAAACTTGTATATTTATGACAAATTTACCCTCCGTTAGTGTCCGCTAAATTGGATTAATATTACGAAAAATCACAAATTGGTAAACTTGTGACAAACAGAGGGGTAAAACCCCAAACTGGTACACCCATCAACTATCACATGTCATCAAACTTAGCAATTTGACGGTAAAATTTAACGGAAACTAACAGAGTATAAATTTGTCACAGGTATACCAGTTTGGGGTTTTTGGTGGTTAAAAAATTAGTTTAGATTTTTTGTGGTCAAAAAATTAGTTCGGGGTAAAATTGTCACGAGTGTACTAGTTTGAGATTTTTTGTGGTCAAAAAAATAATTTGAGGTAAATTTATGATAAATAAATGTACTAATTTAAATTTTTTCTTGGTATTAACCCTTCGTTATATTTCTAGCCAAAAAAAAAAAAAAGAAAACCTTCCTTATACAATTTTTTTTTTTTTTTTTTTTTGGTCGAAGACCTTCCTTATACTATGAACGGAGCATCTGCTTACATTGTACCTAGTGCGTCAGCTACGGCGGCTAGCATGACGTCAGGCGGGGTCAAATCGGGGAACACGGGGGAAGAAATGACGACCCGTCGCCTGTAGTGGCCCAGAGTCAGAAAGCAATAAGCATTCGCAACACCACCACAAAGTACAGTCCCAACCACCCCTGACATTTTTTCCCCCCGGGAGGAACAACCACCACACAACCACACCTCATTTTTCTTTTCTCTCTCTTTTTTTTTTTTTTTTTTTCTAGTGACAATATATTTAAATTTTTCAGCGACTGAAACAGATAGATTCAGGCTTCATCCGCAAAAAAAAAAAAAAAGAAAAAGAAAAAGAATTTCCAGAATTATCATGAGGGAGATATTGTAATTTACGATTTCTTTTAATGAATTTTAGACTTAATTTTGATAGATCAAATCCGTCGCATGGCTCGATATACAAATTTTACGAATCAATATTAACTTATTCAAAGTCGCTCATTTCTTATACCAATAAACTAAGTTTATTGGTTGTGGCCTTATTATTTTTGTAAGTGATAAGAGGGGATCGTGTTTTAATAAAATATTTTTTCAATCATTCGTTTTTTATCGAGATAAACGCACCCGACATAAGATAATACATTACGGATTTATTCAGAGAACATCGAAGCTATCATGATGGAAGCCAGAGGAGAAAGCAACGCTCTTTGATAAATACTCTGCACCCGATGCTAATTCAATCAAATACCGAGTTAGTAGTGTTGGCTCCATCACACTACATTGACATTCCAAAATACAAATGATTCTCGACGACTTTAGTGTTCATGCATGGACCCCCCCCCCCCCAACGTCTTTCTTAAATGACCATATCAACCCTCAATCGATTCTATAGCCTAAGATAAACGATTCAAATTGCAAAGTACTCTGATTATATAATTCATCTCGGATCTGTGTAATATTTGGAACTTGGAAAAATCTTTATTTTAGGGTCCTTTTTCGATTACACGAGAATTCGAAACTTTGTCGCGTTTTAAAAATAGGGTTTATAAAATAGTGTCGAAGGTCACCAAGAACCAGTCATCAAGGAAATGCATGCCGTAAATAAAATGTAAATGAAAGATTTCGGAACGACCTCGTGTTTTATGGTCAGAGCAAGGGAACATGGTTTACGACCATTTGCATCTTCTGCATAATATGAGCTGTACGACGCAGATGTTATAGGGCCAAAACTTATCTCTCTCCCTCTCTCTCTCTCTCTCTCTGTCTCTCTCTCTCTAAGTTTCCCTTCAGATCTTGCAGAGAGATCGACGAGGACGGAAATGGAATCGGAGAAGCAGAAGACGCAGAGGGAGAGGGAGAGAGACGGCGCGGACGGTCCCAAGAAGAAGGCGAGAGTGGTGGAAGCGCGGGAAGACGTCGAGGTGGAGGAGCCGCCGAGCGAGGCCGAGGTGGAGGAGTTCTTCGCGATCGTGCGGCGGATGCACGTGGCGGTGAAGTACTTCGGCCAGAAAGCGAATGGGGTCGGCGGGAAGCCGCCGGGGAAGTGGAGAGCCGCCCTGGAGGCGGAGGACGTCGTGGTGGTTGCGGCGGACGAAGCCGGGGAAGTCCTCGACGACAAGGAAAGTGTGAAGAAGGCGGCGGCAGCGGCGGCGGCGGCGGCGACGACTCCGGCTCCGGAGGGAGTGGCGGAGGTAAATGGGGTCTTTGACCTGAACAGCGCTCCGGAAGAGGGATGCGCCGATTAGGGACGGCGGTTGTTCTCTCGTCCAAGTGGTGGTGCCACGTGTCGGCCTGAGGCGGGAAGCTGTAAGCTAGATGGCAAAACAGGTACAGCTCAGGTTGTTTCTTTGTTTGTTTTTTTTTTTTTTGAATTTTTGTAACCTGTTAGTTTCTTTTCTTCTCGAATGGAATGAAAAGTTTAGGTGATTCCCTAGTGCTGCGGTCCGTTCATGTAAATTAATTATTTGCCATTCGCGAAGTTCTACAAAATTTTGGAAGAAGGAAGGCAAGAATCGATTAATGACATTTATATATATAGCAAGTGACGTTGGTGGGATCAAGGGTGCAACCCATGATGAAGGTTCCCCCCATCCACCCCTTCTTTATGGTCATCCACTCTTTTCTTTACCATATTCATTACATTATAAAGTAAAATAATTTAATGACTTTTCTCGACTTTCCATTTTATGGGGATCTTTGTATCATCGAGAAGAATGGTGCTGTTCTTTTGATGAGCCCCAAAAAAGAAGAAGAAGAGGATACTCTGATCGTTTTGAGGGAATAGCATAGCACTTCTTGCTTATCAATTTTCATATCCAGAATATCGAATAATATATAAAGGGTGCGTTTGGTAATCATTCTGTTTTTGGAAATAATTTTTGCTCAGAAATAATTTTTTTTTATTCTATTTCCGGAAATAATTTCTAAGCATTCGAAGGCGTTTGATAACTGCCCAAAATTTCTATTCTTGAAATAGAAAAAAGAACATAAATGCGTTTGGTAACTGCACAAAATTTCTTTTTATTAATAATATTTTGAATTTTTTAATATTTCTTTCTTTTTATTTTTTCTTTTTTTTCTTTTTTTTTTTTCTTCCCCTTCCTTGGCCATGGCCAGGTCGCCGGCGCCGGCGGCCGCTCTCGTCAAATCAGGCAAGGGCCACGACACCGTCGCTGGTGACAGGCTAGGAAGAAAACGAAGAAGAAAACCAAGAAGAAGGAGAAGAAAAAAAATTTTCTTTTCCATTTCTGATTCTTGTTCTCAGAATCAAGAAGCAACTTTTTTTTGCTTCTTGAACTTTTTTTTGCTTCTTGATTCTGTTCCAAAACCGATTCTAGGAACAAATTTGTGTAAATTTGTGCTCGGAACCAAAAAATTTAGCAAACGGATTTCTATTCCAAAACTGATTTTGGGAATAAAAGAATAGAATCAGTTACTATTTGGCCAGTTACCAAACGTAGTCAAAGTCTTGTACATCGAAGCTGTACCGACAAGAATATACGGACATGTGCGTAGTTATTATTGCACTAGTCGGGACATATGGAAATATACATGTGGAGTCAGGTAGGTTTCACATGGACGATCATGTGTAAATGTCTTGTGATTAGAGGTGGTTTAGCACGGTCAGCATCGACCAGAGCCAGGAAAGATGATGCTATCGACTTTTGCTGTGGCTGCGGCGGCGGCACGACCCGTCTACTTTTAGAAAGCTACTTCCATCTAACTCTCGAGATACGGTGCCCTTTTTCGGGGCGGACGTTTCGCATGCAGGCGACACGGCGTCGCGACTGCAAACTCCGGCGATAACAGTATTACCGAGCGTACCGGATTCATGTGGATCCAATGATGCAGCACACCACAACTATCGGACCGGAAATAAGACATTTTGGTCGTCCCTCGGTGAAGAAAAGAAAAGAGGACAAAAGAAAAAGAAAAGGACAAAAAAAAAAAACCAGAGAGTGAAAAAGAAAAGCCAATGCATTGCAACAACAACTGAAGCCCAAAGATAGCGGGCAAGTAGCCCATAAGATAAGAGGCCCATTCATGCTTTTTCTGTCTTGCTTAGATAAAAGGAAAAATGCCGAAATTTCCTGCGAAGTGGGGTCGTTTTCTCAAAGTTCTCAAAAGCGGGATTTGCGCTTTTGAGAAAAACCTCTTGGAGTCAGCGGCCATGTCTCAAATAACCCCCCGAGCTCATCCGCGGTTGAAATTTTTCGCCGGACGGGCGATCACGTGCGGAGATTTGCGCCTTCGAAGACGTTTTTTTTCCTCCCGAAATGTCCGATCCATGTGCAATATGGCCAAATTTAAAAGTCCCGATGGGCGCCCTGATTTTCTAGATTGGGATGAAAATTCGGTTCCGTGCGCCTCTCGGGAATTAGAGTCGGTTCTCGCCGCAGCCCGGGACCGGGAGTGGCGTCTCTCCACCTCCGAGCTCTAGGTCCTTCTCCACCAAGGGTGGTGGTTGTAACGTGTTGAGGAAATCAAGGGAAAAAATCGAGTGGGTTTAGATGGTCGATTAGGAGGCAATTTGTACCGTCGGATGTGTGAAATATAAGAGATTCGATGAGGATAGACGTTCCAAGGTTGAATCGAACCACGGCGATCCATCTTACCATACAACCTCACTCTCGATGCTTTGCTTTTACAAGTCGCGATTTCAGCTTCTCTCTTGGCACGGGCGAAATTGGAGAAACTAAGGATTAGGATTTGATAGGACAAGTTGGGGGATATTATGCCTAATTTCGTACCGATGTGCTCAAAGTGGACTTCAGAGGACGAAAATGCCCCTGAGGTGCAGATCTACACACGTGATCAAGTTAAAAAATAATGGAAAAATGGCACAATTGGTCCCCGAACTTTGACCTAACGTGCAAACTATAGCCTAATGTGCAATGCGGCATCTGAATTTTTAATTTGTTCAATGTGGTCCATGAACTTTTGATACATGTTCAATTTAGTCCCTAAATTATATGAAAATGTTCAATGTTGTCCCTGAATTTGAATTTAATAGAAGGACAACAATGATCATTTGAGCTATATTGGACATGAACAAAAAGTTCAGGGATCATATCGAATAATTTAAAAGTTCATAATCCATATTGTACATTAAGGTAAAATTCAAGGATCACATTGAACAAATTAGAAGATCGAGAATCAGGGTGAAAGTTCAGGGACTATCCGTGCCATTATCCCAAAAAGTAATTGGCCGCCTATGAGGTTGGGCAGTTATTTGAGACACGGTTGCCCACTTCGGAGGGTTTTATGAAACCAAAACCCCACTTTCGGGGGAACACTGAAAAAACGACCAAACTTGGGGGGAGAATTTTCGATTTTCTTCCCCCCAATTAAAGAGGCATTTCTCTTTTGGACATGCTAGACCGGGACTCCAACAGGAGCGCTCCATGCGTGCCAGATTTTTAAACTTAGCGCGACGGACTGTCCGCCCTAGTGATAGAGCATATTACAAGCGTTCTTTTCTTTTGTGCTTTGAGTGAAGTATGGATTTCGTACTTTGTTGGAAAGTAAAGTTTAGCGTGACATGCGTCGGTTTGGATTCGACGGGCAGTTGAAAAATGATGCTCATCGCGTATCCCGCTTAACACGTGTAAAAAAAAAAAAAATTTACAATGTACGAAATAAGTTTCTAAAAGGTGAAGAAAGAAATATTCGAGTTGAGAAAGACCCGTTGGAAAATGATGCTCGTCACGTATCCCGCTTAACACGTTTAAGAAAAATAATTTACAACGTACGAAATAAGTTTCTAAAAAAAGTGAAGAAAGAAATATTAGAGTTGAGAAAGAAGAAGGTAAAGACTTTGACGGTATGATATAACTTTTTGTAAAAAAAGATTAAAAGAACAAGAACAAGAACTTTGATAAAAGGTGGTGGAGATTGGTCCAGCGGACGCAACATCACCTACCATGGAAAAAGAAACGGTAAAAGAAAGTGGGGCTAGTCGAATGTCCATTTCTACTATAGGCGAGCGAATTTCTTTATAGGTTCCACCTTAAACTTGGAACCCATTTATGAAAACAGGTTCCTCATTTTTTGAAATCTGGAACTTACCCTACATAGTCTAGAATATGGAACCTACCCCGTCATAAGTTTCACGGTCTATCCAAGTTCCACATATATTATTAATTGAATAATTGCAGTGAATCATCTTTAATGACTATAACTTGCTGTTATGATCCACTGACCACAACTTTTATTTAGAGTCATGAAGAATATATAACATTAACAAGTCACAAAATGAAAGCTCAAACTAGTAGTACCAAATTATACACTCATCATTTAATGCCAAAGAACACCGTAGGATCACGCGACAACATAGACCAAGAAAAAAATGCAAAAAACTTGTTTCAGGTTTTAGGCCTAGAATTTGGAACTTGGAACCTATTCGTCGAAACAGGTTCTCCAATTTTTGAAACTTGGAACCTACTTGCATACCTTGAAACCTAGAATCTAGAGTTTCCCACTGGTCAGATTCTAGGTTTTACCCTTGAACCATGCTCACCTCTAATTTCTACGTCCTCCTATGGTGAATAAAATAATCCTTACCCTCAACCTATTGGAGAAATTAAATTAAATCTCAAAAAAACAACTAAAAAAATTACTGAATTAGGGAAAAGCTAAAGTAATTACCATAAGATTCATATTTTTCAGCGAGGTCACCCTTATGTCATTATTCCAAACAATAGAGAATGCATCATGCATTAGCCATGGTAATTATACTTATCTCATAGAAGTAGATCGATGGCCCTTACATTTTACTCAATTATAAGTCACAAAAGGGTAAATTTTTTATAACCGTTTAGAGGATAGACTAAATAGTTGAAGCCGCAAATTGAATACAGCGGATACCGTGACCCATAACGTCTTCCGTTCACACCAACTTCATGATCGTTGCTTTGTACACAGATTATACCTTGGCTAGCTACTACCTCCACCTTGCTACTTTGACAAGAGAGATAAAGTCCTTTTAGCTTTATGCCCAAAAAAAATGCTCCCGAAGCACATCGACCCCCCCCCTTGTCAATTCCCAAAGACAAAATAGCATTATCATCCACGAACATCATCATCATCAATGGTTGCAATCAAATTGTTGCACTTCCTATTCCAAAGGCAGGGCATCATTGACTAGTGGGTCGCCTTTGATTCTCCATCTTTTGTTTTTAAGGAAAAGGAAGAAGAGGAGGTTGAGGAGAATTTTTCCCACCGGTTCATGATGTAGAACCCCATTTGAGACTTTGTCGCTTGGAACCCCCCACTTAAGACCACAAATTTAAAGACGAATTCCTTTTCCATCATTTGATTTTGAATGATCATGGCATTGAATAATTGTTGCTCCTAGCTTGCTAATCACGTCCGATGTAAATTCGGATCGCGGGGCATCTGTCATAGATGCGACGTTTTTTACGTTATTTTTAGGATGCGTCGACTGTTTTGCTGAAAATTTTATGGTAAATATAAATATTTTCCGTGGAAATCATCATAAAGGAAAATAGCTAGTTTTCATTTATCTATTAGAAAGGGAAGTTGTTTTTGCCCCCG